ACAGCACAAAATTAATCAATCCCTTCCACACCATTTTCACTCGCACAATTTTTTTTTGAATTCTTGGTCATTACTCTTAATCTTCATACTTCATTTGGCTTTAAGCGCCAATGATAAGTTTTAGGCAGACGAAATGCGTTTTTACATTTTCTGGAATAAATACTTCTCTTTAGAACTGAAATCTACTTGCTTCATATCTTTGTTGAGAACAATTACCATTCTCAGATAAAAGTGAAGTTAAATTAATTTTTTATCCATGTTCTTCTGGAGACGATGATAAAAATTAAAAATGTCCTAAAATCATTCAGGGCAAAACCGAAGCGCTTAATGACACGTCCATAACAATAAGCAATTAATTTTGTCACAAAAAGAGCATAAAAAAAACAAAAAAAGTTTTTTTTTTTTAATGTGTGTACATTTTTTCCCCGATATTTACTAGATACGAGTTTCAACGACCAAATCCATGTGATATTGCACTACCCGGAAGTGTATCTCTCCATCCAGCACGAAGCTGTTGACTCAATTGCGTTTTGATGTTGAATTGACTTTGATAGTTGACTTTGTTGGTGTTTTCATCGGGGTCTACCTGATGGTCGTATAGTTCCGAATCAATAATAGTATTCCAGTCGGGTTTGTAAGTAGGTTTCCCATTGAATCTAACCCATTCTGTATATCTATAACGTTCAGTAGTAATTGTATATCCCATTATATCGTGATGACTATGCCTACGTGGGTATTGGGAAAAGGATGCATTTTTCCATGCAATATTTGGATTTTTGATAAGTGGAATAAGACTCTGTCCCTCGTGGCATACGGAAACAGTGGCAGAATTTTCTGGACATAATGGGACTGGATGAATTCCAGCGGCTTCAACTAAAGTCGGGAATAAATCAACAAATTCAGTTAATTTTTCACTCACGATACCTTTATCAGTCATCCCAGGTATCTTCACCATCATTGGCGCATGCGTATCTACGTTGAAATTCGTGTGTTTTGCCCAAGCTCCATGCTCACCTAGCTTCCATCCATGATCGCCAACAAATGACACTACAGTATTGCTTTCGAGTCCTAGTCTAGCAACCTCGGCTAACACATTACCGATTAACGAGTCTACCCAACTAACAGATGTATAGTACGCTCGACGAAGTTTTATAACCGTAGCGTGCGGAAGAGTTGTATTAATGTCACCGGTAAAATTCATTTCCTTAATGTCTTTGTAACTCCATAATTCATTAGAACGAGACCAAGCAATTTTTGGCATTGATCTTGGAGCAAATTGATTATTCGGCACATGGACTTCACTCCATGGGTAATTATGAATAAATGATTGAGGGAAAACAAATGGTAAATGTGGTCTATAAAATCCTACGGCTACGAAAAATGGTTTACGTCGGGATTTGGCGGCCGGGGCAAGATGCTGTAGGGTAGATATAGCATAATCAGCTATCTGTTTGTCAATTAGAGGTTTGTCTTTTAGCAATGAATCTGGAATGCCTTTCCAACTATAATTGTTCGAATTTTCCCAATTATGGTCTCCTTTTAAATATGGCATACTCCATGATAAAGGATCGTTATTGTTAGAAGCAACGCCAGGATGATAAATTTTTCCCATTCCAACAGTTTCGTATCCTTTCGATTTAAAGTATTGTGGAATTGTTGAAAAATTTCCTCCAACGTTTCTGAAATATGTTTTTAGATCATACACGTGAGTTGTATCTGGTCGTCTACCAGTCATAAATGATGCCCTACTTGGTGAACAAAGGGCTTGCTGAACGTATGCCCTCTTCAGAAGCAAACTTTTGGAGGCTAAGGCATCGATGTTTGGGGTATGCATCTGTGACTGACCTGATCCTGGAAAATATTGTCCATTATATGCTCCAAGTTGTGGTCGTAAATCATCCATCACTATGAATAAAACATTTTTCCTGCCTTTTGAAATTGCCAATAAATTAAAAATGACAAATATCCATAATCCTTTCATTTTAGCTCCGTACTTTACGCCAAGTTCATATGATATTACATATACTAGAAGTCAGGTACATGTATACATAAGAAAAGCTTAAATAATTATCTCCACCATGTGTTCAAGTCTCACGATTCTGTGCATGTACTTCAAAATGACAATAAAATATTGACATAGTTTAACATCTTCACATTTTCACGTACCTATCTGAATATAAAAAGATTTTGTATGATTGTCAAGGAGACAGCTGTCCATCAAAGACTAATGGTTTAGATGTTAGCAACAATAGGTTTCCCTTTGGCTTTCAACAATGGGCAAAATCCATAGCGTAAAGTTAGCTAAACAAAAAATTATTTAAAACAGTAATCGGAAAACCAATTTGACAAACAACAACCGACGGCAAACACTGAATAACAGACTCCTGACTTTGATGGACGTGTTTTAAATAGACAATTGGCCTAACAATGAGAGCCAGCTGTACCCCTCTTCTTGCCGACTTGTAATTTTATTCATATGAGGATGACTTCATACAGAACTTCTTAGGAAGAAAGAAAAGAAGTTAGCAGTATCTTTTAACTTCACTTCCCGCTATATTGATGATTTCTTCTCGCTAAATAATTCGAAATTTGATGACTATGTTGAACGCATCTATCTCATCTAACTCGAGATAAAGGATACAACAGATACAGTTACGTCTGCCTCATATCTTGACTTACATCTAGAAATTGACAATGAGTGTTGAAAAAAAAACTTTACGACAAAAGAGAAGATTTCAGCTTCCCAACTGTGAACTTTCAATTTCTATTTAGAAACATTCTAGCAGCGCCTGCATACGGAGTATATATCTCCCAGCTGATACGATAATCCACGGCTTTTATTTCCTTGATAGAGGGTTGCTAGTCACAAGGAAGCTATTCAAAGCAAGAGTTCAATTGTCGTGACTAAAATCCCGTCTCCTTTTCACCGAAAGTGACCTACCGAATAGACTTATCACCGGGTTTGTATTTACATAAGCAACACAACAGGCGCCAAATGTTGTGCAGGATCTGCTCACCCTTCCGGAGCACCCGATATCACCCCTAGTTTTTGGTGGGGTTTGTGTTGATCAGTCTTTAGTTTTCTATGTTGTGTTTTGTGTACTGCTGTTTGTCTGTTGGTCTTATTCTTTTTGGCCTTGGCCTTGTCAGTTTAATTTCGACTTGTGAGTTTGAATGTCCCTTTGATATCTTTCGCCTCTCTTTGGACAGGCACATTCAAAATGCTGATAGGTAAAACATGTTTGCAAGAGCTCAAGTCAGAAACTTCATTAGTATTTGTCACATCTCATAGCTTAATGTTTCTGTTATTTGGAAAGTTGATATATCGTATAAACATCTGTCCGTTGTTAAAGAATATAATTTGCCCTCCGGATATCAGATATCTTATGGCTATATTACTGACCTATACTCCACAAATTATGATATAATACTTCGTTGTGCAGTTAACTGTTGATGTGCTATCGGAAAGTTTCGGAAAGTTTCGAACGTTCTAATGTCTACACATTAAGAACAGTTAGACTGGTTCACTTCGTTCTGGTATCAAAATACGGGTATCTGAATCAGCCTTGTAAGAGCCAAATCGATAAATTTACTAACTATCAGATAACTTCCTTGGTGCCAAGATGGAAAAGTCCCATGTTTTGGTAATGGGAACCCTAAAAATCTCTCAGATCAAAAATTTAAATAGTAGGTGCACAACTTCTTTCCTGATGGTGAATATGTAAAATTTTAAGCTAGAAAAGCTGCTTCCAATGAGTAGTTGATTAACAAAGTGTTTGCACTCTGATAAATAGTATTGTTTCGGTACTTATACATCCCTTGGATTTCAAATGTTTGGCTTTGAGCGTTCCTGATGAAGGTAAATCCAGAAAAGCGCTTCGGACGCATGAAATTATTAACGTGTGGTTTTCAATTTTTTGTGTCATTGGCACATCCATACTTCCATAAAGTGTGATGCAAAAAACTAATTCAAAGCATTATGGGTGCTGTGATCCAGCCATTTTTATTCATTTTTTAGATAATCAGACCATTCTTTTTTTTCTAAATCTTCTTACTTCATAAATATGATAAACATTTTTCAATTTAATGACTTTGATACGTAGACAAGGGAATCTGCAAAAGAAGGTGTAATATAATGTTCATTGAAGTTTGACTTAATAATTGATGGAAAAAGGCTTTGACTTTGCACTTTTTCAACTAGAAAAAAAATAAAATTACTAAATTTTATGGTTTTTATTCTCCATTGCAAAAAATACATTTCCTCATTTCAAATACATATTTACAAATATCTTATACTTTTAAATAGCAATATAATGGGGAATAAACAACAAGAATAAATAATTTATGCACTTTTGTTTCATTTTTTCAAGCAAATCACTGATAATATTATCTAAAATCAATCTAAATTATCTACTAATATAAGATGATTATGACACTAATTTTACAAATAAAAAAGACACTGTTTGCATTTCTATATAAATTTTATTTGTTGCCTTTCTTTTAAGAAAAAAAAGCATCTTATTAATTCATCTTTGACACATAAAATTTAGAGATACACTACAGCTCAGGTGGATTTTGCTTTGTCCACCCACCCACAGTTGGAGTGGGCTCCGGGTCACCAAAATGTCTCGCTTGTCCACTCTGCCCTCACATAGGAGCAGGCATGCAATTACTTTTGTTGAATCAAAAGATTTGCAAGTACAACCAATTGAAATAAAATGCTCCGCTGGGGCGCAGCTTGATACGACCACAGAGGTCGAACCCTGAACAGTTGGGGCAAGTATGGACACAACATTCAAGCTTGATTCAGCACTGAATTTGGATTGTAATTAAATATTTGACACAGCATAGGTTTCTGACACAGAATGAAAGTGGTCTAAGAACTTAAAATTTTTTAATTTACCTATTCAAACCATATCATTATTATTTGCTTTTATATAAAAATCAGAAATAACCAATTTAAAATGGAAAATTTTAAAGAAAAAAAAGGAAACCCCCCCCCCCAAATTTTTTGAACCCCCTTATGATTCATCAGCCCCAAACTCAATCCCAGTCTTCCCTTTGTGGTATGGTACCTTGCAGTACAATTTCAGAAAGATCCATACACTTGAACACAAGTTATTGTCTGGAAACTAGAAAACTGCTTGTTTTTTGGCCCCTTTTTGGCCCCAAATTCCTAAACATTTAGGGCAATTACCCCCAAACTCAAACCCAGCTTTCCCTTTGTGGTATGGTACCTTGCAGTACAATTTCATAAAGATCCATACACTTACACACAAGTTATTGTCCTGGAACTAGAAAAATGCTTGTTTTTTTGCCCTTTTATGGCCCCTAATTACTAAAATTTTGAGGGAATTACCCCCAAAATCAATCCCAGCCTTCCCTTTGTGATATGGTACATTGCAGTACAATTTCAGAAAGGTCCATACACTTGAACACAAGTTATTGTCTGGAAACTAGAAAAATGCTTATTTTTGGCCCCTTTTTGGCCCCTTATTCCTAAACGTTTTGGGTAATTACCCCCAAACTCAATTCCAGCTTTCCCTTTGTGATATGGAACCTTGTAGTACAATTTCATAAAAGATCCATACACTTACACACAAGTTATTGTCATGAAACTAGAAAAATGCTTGTTTTTTTGCCCCTTTTTGGCCCTTAATTCCTAAAATTTGGAGACAATTACCCCCAAAATCAATCCCAGCATTCCCTTTGTGATATGGAACCTTGTAGTACAAATGAAATTAGAAAAATGCTTGTTTTTTGCCCCTTTTTGGCCCCTTATTCCTAAAATTTGGAGACAATTACCCCCAAAATCAATCCCAGCATTCCCTTTGTGATATGGAACCTTGTGATACAATGTCAGAGAGATCCATAGACTTACACACAAGTTATTGTCATGAAACTAGAATGCTTGTTTTTTGCCCCTTTTTGGCCCCTAATTCCTAAAATTTGGAGGCAATTACCCCTAAAATCAACCCCAGCATTCCCTTTGTGATATGGAACCTTGTGGTACAATGTCAGAGAGATCCATACACTTACACGCAAGTTATGTCTGGAAGTTACAAAAATGCTTATTTTTGGCCCCTAATTCCTTAACTGTTGGTACCATAACCCCCAAAACCAATCCCCACCTTCCTTTTGTGGTATTGAACCTTATGGTAAAATTTCATTGAGATCCATACACTTAAACTAAAGTTAGAGTGCGAAAACTAATGTGTCTTCGGACGACGACGACGACGCCAACGTCATACCAATATACGACCACAAAAAATTTTTTGCGGTCGTATAAAAAGCCGATAAGCATTTGTAATCAATATTTTTACAAAAAAAAGAGAATACAGCTAGAGTGGGCACAGGTGGGCTGTCCATTGTGGGCAGGTGGAAAAAGTAAAATCCACAAGGGCTGTTGTGTATAAGACGTAAAAAACATCATTAATTGCCTAGTATGTCCTAAATTTAGAATTCTGCACCATCCTAAAATCTGGAGTGATGACACAGATCCAGCAAACACGATCCAGATTTGTCAATACAGCTTTGCTTTCAGGCAACACGGAAACTTTGGGTCCTAACCACAGATCTTGCCACAAAGAAAATGGACTTAATCATAGCAATCCATTTTAACTTTCTTCTCATTGTGAGGTGAGACCTCTGCTTCCAATAGTAGATAAGTACATGTATGTTTACAACAACATTGTCAAAACTGTTTCTTGAAAGCAGTTACATTTATGGCTAGCAATGCCAATTTAGTGCTATGTTATCATATTTGTTCTTCACTAACATCTTACTGGTCAATCTTCTCAGCCCAACATTGATGATAATATTTCAAACTGTAATAAATAAATATACACAAGTGAGGATTGAATAGAATCTTTTATAATATTTAATTAATACGTATTTTGTTTTCTTTTATGTGGACTGGTATTTTTCCTAATTGTAAGTGGCACTTTTCTATATCTTTTGATGACCTCAATATAAATATTACTTCGAATGTATTAGACCTTGAAACTGCAAATAAATTGCGAAACAAATCCAGGGAGTTTAGAACACTTCTTTCTGTAGTTTTATTTGGGGTGTTAAAGCATTGACCACGTTATAATGTTTTATCTTTACATTTACTTCAACATTATAAGTTATATGGTTAGCTACTGACCCCCTACTAGGGCAAAAATGCCACACATGTGTCACGCATGTACCTAAAAACGCATGTGTCACAGGTGTGTCACATGCGTAATACACATGTTTCTTGCCACGCATGTGAATCATGCGTGGTACACATGCGTTCACATGCGTAACACACGCATGTGAATCGCATGTGTCAGAAAAACACCCGTGTCACGCATGTGTTGGAAAACGCATGTGACACATGCGATATTTGCATGTGTAACACATGTATAGTCAAACGCATGTGTAACGCATGTGTTACACAGGCAAATTTTGTTGATGTGAATTCAAGTTAAATTTTTCACGTGAATTTTACGTTAAATTTTTCATGTGAAATTCACATGAAAAAAAAGTTAATTGTGTCCAAGTTGAAAAAAATTAACATCAAAATTAAAACTTGTTTATTAACATCTAATACCTTGTAAGACATATATTCCATTGAAAATCTTATTTTACTTTTAAAAAATTTATTTTCACATGAACCCCTTTTTTTTGAATAATCAATGCATTTAAATGGGGAAATATAATTGGAACCCCCCTTTTATCCTGTGTTGGGACCCTCCCCCCTTTTAAAAATGGCTTGATCAGCCCCTGATTATCCTTAATTGTCACCATAATAAATGGTATTTTATCCAATCAGCTTAGGAAAATAATCGCAGGAAAAAAAAGCAAAGTACATGTAAATAAAGTTGCAATTGTCAGATATGGGTCCAGGATCCTGAAAAAGAGTGAGATTAGACTTGTAAAAAGTCTCTCTCTCTCTGTCTCTCTAAATATATATATATATATAATTCCTAAAAGGAGTAGGCCAGGGGATTCTTTGAATCATCCCCCTTCCCCCATAAAATCTTCTTCTTATTTGAAAAATTAAAAGTATAATCTTTAAACATTTATTTTAAATAAGATTTTCATTGGTATTTCTTTTAATACATATACACAGGTAAAAGAAGTATGCGTTATTGGGAGAATTTGGTGTTAATGGCAGATCTTTTGATCTTCACCACTTTGAAAAAAATTGACTTAGAACTTGGAATATCTGTATGTGTTCAACAGTGTTGTGTTTTTGTTATTATTGTTATTGAATAACTTTCTCAAAGGTGTGTTACAAAAACCTTACATCTCTTATTATTCCTATGTATCTGCCTACTATCTTGAACAAAAGACAGACATATACAAGTAGATATATTTAAGTCTAAGGTGCTTCATAGAGTTATCAGGTTATGGAACTAAATTATACATTTGCATATTTTATTTAGGATTTTCTTATTTGTAACCCTTGTGTTACAAAAATGACTGATTGTAACAATCAGTAATTTTTGTAACACAAGGGTCAATGTATGTAATATTGACATTGGATTGTACAAGGCTAAATTAAAAATTACCTTTTGCCAGTTTTGGTAGTTCAAACAAACGTGACCAATTAACATTGTCAATACTTGATTGTTGACCATTCTGATTATCTGTCCAAGTACAAAACTATGCTAACAAGATAATACACATGAGCATATAGAAAGTACTTGAAAAGTTTCAGAGTGTTTGGGGTAGTCTGTCCTGTTCAATACGGCTCATAAGATAAAGGGGAAAGCAACACTATTATCGTGTTTAAATCACGACAAACAATAGTCACTACATACTTTCGTCCCTTTAAATTTAGGCTTATACAATGTACAGAATAATATACCATTATAACTTTATCATACATTTCTTCATCTTTGGTGTGGAATAAAAGCAAAGGATATAATTACCTGTTTATATTTTACTTGTGTTTCAAGCAAGCATTTGGTGGGTTGAGAGGGGTTTACTGTAACGGCGGTTATAAACTTACATAGGCGGATCCAGGGTGGGGGGCCTGGGCCCCCCTTTCGTGGGAAAAATTTGGTTGATTATATAGGGAATCACTGAAGCATGACTGGAGCGGCCCTCCCTTAGGTCAGTCAGCGGGCCCCCCTTATGAAAAGTTCTGGATCCGCCACTGACTTACCACCACCCACGTGCCACCACATCAGTGTCCTGCAGGCACTTGCCCGCATGTGGTGTCAAAAGTTACATATGCTTGTGTTTTTTCAAAGTTCATAAAATGTGGAACAAATGTCCTCAATTTCTCTATTCTATTTATAAGGGGAACATAAATATCAATGATCAGTGTTGGAGCTGGGACTATTGTATAATAGTCTCCATAATAGTCCCAGGTTGGAGGCATTAATGTCATTAATACCATTGTGAGGGTACTACTGGAAAGAAGTTGTTTAAGAATAGATCAACCAAGGATTTGTTTATTGGATCAACGGTGATAACATTTTAAAACTGTGATACCCAAACAACCTTGGTATGAAATACTGTACAGAAATTCCCAGTAACCGTTGGGCTTAACATTACATAAAAACTAAAGATTGTGCCATTGACGGATCCAGAAATTTTCATCAGGGGGCCCACTGACTGCTAAAGAGGGGGCCTCCCTAGTCATGCATCAGTGATTCCCGATATAATAGATCAAATTTTTGCCACAAAAAGGGGAGGGGCAGGGTGCTCTAAATCCGCCTTTATGTGCAACACGAACCTCCAAAATACATGGGTGAACTCAAGTATTGTGAATGATAAAGTTAGGAACTTTCTGCTCAACATGTGGCAACCTAGGTTTGAGTATACATGTAATTGCCAACTTGAATTTAAGTAAGTTAAACTTTGATTTGATTCGCCATATTGGCAAACATGTGAAGATAAGATCTGGTGAGCTTTTCGTCGAATATCATGAGGAGATAGTGTTAAAAATATTTGCATAGTTCATGAGTTGAAAATTATAAAACAAAATATATTGTTTAACCTTGGACAAAAAGATCTGATCAAGTCCAAAACTGGCTGTTATTTGTGTAGGCTACCTTAATCTTGAAGAGTATGCATTTCTAAATCAAGGAGGCGGTAGGCAATTTCCTAATAATATTACAAAAGAACTTGTCACAGATTCTTAACTAAACGTCTATCAGATTAGTAAAATTTCTAATTCACTGACATCTGTTGGACATAGATACTCAAATTGCAGAATCTTATTAGTAATAAAAAAAAATCTGTGTTTTCTGTGACATCATTTTGAAAAATATATGTTTATATTTTATGTATTACACTCTAACTGTCTAACATTTAATTCTCCTCTGATTAGAATTTAGAGTAATTATCGTTTGTCAATTTTCCAAACTTCCCATGCCCCCCTCAGCAGAGTTATTTAATTCTGAATGGAACAAAATGTGAATGAGTTATAAATAATATATAAATGATTGAATATTCTTTATTTAGTTTTTCTTTATTCTCAATTCTTCCAGAGACATGTATATGCTCTGAGAACTTATGTCTTTGCATGATTCTTCATAATTAAGTATACTCAATTATTCTCTATGATCCTTCTTTCTATATTTTTGCTTTTCAACTATCTATATATATTTTTGTGTGTCCTTATTTAAATCCCCATTCTTGATTCCAGACTAACTCTCATATATATACGTAAATGTACGAAAGCTTGGCACGTCGAATACGGAAACCCGGAAATCTTTTCACCGTTGTCGTTTTATACTATGACGCAAAATCCATGGACGCTCGTCTGCTGCTGAATTCATGTTTTAAAAGAATGGACAAAGATAGTCAGATAGTTGATACAAAGACCTTTGATTTTTCAAACTGATGGATCAAAAAGTTATTATAAACAGATATATTGAAATGGGTTAGTAACTTACATTGTCGATTAACTGAATCCGGGGAACGAAAGTCAACGCAACGAAAGTGTTTCGTTTTGATGGATTACGTACCAACTTATTGTACTTGGAAAGCGCAATGAAATGTAAATATAATCATGCGCATTTTTAGGAAGATGCTAGTGTTATACTTTTCGCGAAAAACCATTTGACTTTATCCATGTCATGCATGTATAAACCCGAAAATCAGTCAAAGATTGGCAAAAACGGAAGCAAGTCAACTCGCCCCATTAATTTAAAATCGCTCCACTCTTGTTTAGGGAGCTACCATTTGATTTTTATTGGAGAGGGGGCTTTGACGGAATTTGAAAAAATGCGGGACAGGAGTTTTGAGTAAAAAAAATAAAAGCCAGGACCGAAAAGAATGAATAATAAACTGTCAGGACAGATATTACAACTAAAAACAATGCAGGATAACTGTTCATAACATTTTCATCCTAGCCCCCCCACCCCCCCACCAAATCAAGTGGTAGCTCCCTTCATACCAACTTGCTTGCCCCACATTAAAAAAAATCGCCCCACTTGTGAAAAGGATTAAATCCTGTTAAATATACAATGTACTCCTGCCAACAGTGGCAACTTGCCTAACTTGGGTAAAATCCAAATGAATATAATCATGATAATATATAATAAATATATTATAAACAGATAAAGGTCTACCAACTCGCCCTACATGTACTTTAAAAAAATGAAAACTTATCTACCCAGAATTAAAAAAAAAATTGAAATTTAAAATATGATATTTATTGAATTTAAATGATGTTTCACTTCTTAAAATATAATTGTAGATTCATTATTTACTATTATTTAATTTATGTATTTATTGGAGAATAACTTTATTCTTGCATTAGCTTAGTTATTTGCAAAATAATTGCAAAGAAACCTGTTAATCATGTTAATTGTATCATAATCTATCTGATTGTTTTTTAGCCGACTCAAAATCATGCTGTTAATTAGGGCCCCTACTTTACATGTACGTAATGTAAATATAAAAATAAGAAAATGTGGTATGATTGCCAATGAGAAAAGAGAGGAATTGGTAAAAGTCCGTGAAAATTCACTTGTTTTCCAATCCTAATAAAACTGTCATATTGTAATGTTTAAATAACCTAATTATTTTCAAAATAAAATCTTGTTTACACTAATGAGAAAAGACAACTCTCCATCAGAGATCAAATGACATCAAAGTTAACAACTGGAGGTCACTGTACATCCTTCAACAATGAGCAAACCCCATACCATATAGTCAGCTATAAAAGACCCCAAATGAAAATGACAAATTTGTAAAATAATTCAAACAAGAAAACTAGCAGACTAATTTATATACAAAACAAAGAACAAAAAAAACAAAATATGATACACAGCAACAAACGACAAACTGAACTACTGAATTACAGGCTCCTGACATGGGACAGGCACATACATACAAATATGTACAGGATGGGGTGGGGCTAGACTAGTAGTTTGTGGTGCAGAACCCACCTCCTAACCTGGTATATTGATGTGAAAAGGGCTTAACTCGTCAGATCTATACAAAGTAGAAAGACATCTAACAAAACCACACACAAGACGTGGTGGGTACTTACACATCCCCACAACAAAAAAGACCAAGTTCAGATCTGAGAGTACTCCCAGTTACTAACACCTAGTTCAAAGCCAAAAACAAAGTACATTGTACATGAACAATGTATTTACCAACAAACCTTGCCTGGTTTAGTCCATTTCTCAGATACTACCTTATATAAAATAGTCCAACTTTTGGTGTAATTTAAACAACTTTGAATGACATAAAATTTCAAAGTATCATGATTATTAATAACTTAATCCCCAAAGATTGGCATTATAAATCATGACAGATTCAGAGATCCTGTAATATATACTGTACATGTAATCACTTTTGTTCATCCCTTCATTCAAGGGTCATATGGAATTTATATGATGGATTAGAACATTAATAAAATGATTAAATACTTTTTGTAGTCATTTTTTTTTCAGGGAAAGTTTGTTGGTCTAGTTTTAAAAGATCAAAGCAAGCCAATTTTGCCAGATCAAAATATTAAAGGCAATTTTGGCAGATACATTGTATTATAACTTCATTTTATTAAACATTATTTATTTTAGCTTTTTCAACGAAAGTACAATTACTTTGAGAAGTAGGAGAAGCTAAGCAACAGGACAGAATTCATTTGAGGCATTGCTTTCTAGATTATATAGTGGAGTCATAGATTGTCCTATTGATTTATGTGGATATGAGGAGCAGTAGTCAATGAATAATTTTGTGATGAGAGGTATGTAATGAAAATGATAACTATGTTTGAATAATTTTTCTTGTCAGGCTCTGTACATGCAGTTTCGAAGATTTTTTTAAAAGTTTGAGGTCAAAATGTTTAAAGTTTGATTCTTGTAATGTTGTGGGCAAGTTCGAAAATTATCCATGTTAGAAGTGACAAATTTATTTTTTTTACAGGTCATTTTTATAGAAAATTGCATTCAAAGCTCTCTTAATCGCTTGTTCTTTTTTGTCTAGCCACAACAGTTATGAAGCTGTGACTTAGGCATACTGTTTTCAATAGAGGCATAGTCGTAAAAAAATTGTTGATATTCATGATGAGGTCAGTTTAAGGAAACCAAGAAATAAAACCTTTGCACCTTTTGTTGGCGGTATACCATCTTTTCCGCAAGTTCATTGTTTTCTGTTTAGTATTAAATTTATAATTAAGATTTATTATTACATCGGTGATCCGTTTATTTGGCAATTTATACAGGAATAATGTCACTTTGAAATGTATGAGTTAGAAAGTAAGTGCTATTAAAATTTAGGTTTACAGAAGTTATTCCGTGGAAATATATATTGTTTAATGTAATGAAAATTGCATTGAAAGCAATCCCAAACAGGTCTACATTTCTTTTCGATTATTTATGAAAATGTTTAAAAGAACAACCATATTGTATACTACAGCAAAAAAGTTTTGAGGTCGTATATTGCTATCAACTCGTTCGAAGACAAATGTGTGTTCTTGTGTGCAGATATAATTAATTCCATGTCAAAATTCCATGTATGTTTGAAAAAGTTGTTGATATCCAAAAAACATTAAAAAACTTTAAACGGGGATTTTCCAGTTTTGGGACAATAACTCAAAATGTGTTCACCAAATGGCAAGAAACTTTTGTGACTTGTTTGTATCTATTGACATGAGCTCCCTTTCGATTTTTATAAATTTAAGATTTTATGTTTCCAAGTTGTGGGGTTATATTCATTTAAAAAAGGGAGATTTTCCAGTTTTCAGACAATAACTCAAAAATGCTTACAGCAGTTTTCATAAAACTTTGGTGAATTATAAAATTGAGAATGGAAATGGGGAATGTGTCAAAGAGACAACAACCCGACCATAGAACAGACAACAGCAGAAGGTCACCAACAGGTCTTCAATGCAGCGAGAAATTCCCGCACCCGGAGGCGTCCTTCAGCTGGCCCCTAAACAAATATATATACTAGTTCAGTGATAATGAACGCCATACTAAACTCCAAATTGTACACAAGAAAATAAAATTAAAAATAATACAAGACTAACAAAGGCTAGAGGCTCCTGACTTGGGACAGGCGCAAAAATGCAGCGGGGTTAAACATGTTTATGAGATCTCAACCCTCCCCCTATACCTCTAGCCAATGTAGAAAAGTAAATTGTTTATATTTATTGTCATAAGCTCCCTTTTGGTTTTTATTAATTTTAGATTTTATGTTTCAGAGTTATGTGATTTTATTCATAAAAAAGGGGGATTTTCATATTTCAGACAATGCTTTGAGCAGTTATCATGAAACTTTGGTGACTGGTTTATATCTATTAAGATAACCTCCCTTTAGTTTTTCATGAATGTCTGATTATGACATTGAAAAGTTATTGAACTTTATTCTTTGAATAAGCGATTGGTGTATCATGTGCTCATGGTGCAGCTGTCTATTTATTTTGGGCCAGGTTTTCAAATTGGTCTACATGCAGGGGTTAAAATTTGCATTAAAAAATGAAAGGTCCTGGACTATTTGAAATTTTCAGTCCAGTGAAAGGTCCTCCATTTTTTTTGTCAACATTGAAACCATTCTGAAGCGTACGAAAGGTATAAATAAAATGTACTTCTAGAATTTTATGTTTGACATCATGAATACGCATATGACGTCACATTGTTTAGTTGCTAAAGACAACGTAAAATATTTGTTAAATGGTATTTATTTTAATATGCTGCATTAGAAAGTAGATAACTGTATTGTATTTTAAGCTTGGCCTTCATTAAACTTGATTTTACCATAGGCGGATCCAGGGGGGGAGGGCCCCCCTTTTGTGGTAAAAATTTGGTTGATTATATAGGGAATCACTGAAGCATGAATGGAGTGGCCCCCCCCCCCCCCCCCCCCCTTTTAGTTATAAAAATTCTGGATCCGCCACTGTTTACTGTCACATCACTAGGTAAATACAGAATTCTCCTAAATGGATAAGCTAATTGTTTGCAAAACTCTTTGAATACTTATTATAGTCTTGCATCCACATGCTATTAATAAAGTACTGTTTTCTCCCTTTCAGCTGTACATTGTATTACAACAAATGGACAGAGGAGTTGACTATTGATAGTGACTGATAATGGACTGGAGTAACCTAGGGTCCAATGACTCCATGCCTGACAGTCCATGTGTACATGTATGTCAACAGCCAATTCTAAGTAACCTTAAACATATATATACAAAAGACCTAAAATAATATTATGTGCATCTATGGGAGACTTATATGTCACTGTTATCACACAGTGTTGTGTGGCTTCATTACTGATTAGAGACTAATCAGATTATCCTTTACTTTAAGTTCAAATATAATGTACATGTACTCAATGATTATGACTTGCCTTCATTAACTTGTAATAATTATGATGCAGGATCCAACAAAAGTATTTTTTTTTTACCTACATTTTATGCATCAGTCTCGCTGATTTTTTAAGTACCTTGTAAATGTATATGGATATATGTATGAATTTAGTTGTAATACTTAGTTTTGAGCCTTGCACATATATACATCATTGTACATTGTCACAGAAGTTAAAATTACTTTGATCGCTGTCAGACAATGACAGAGTGTTTTGAACATTGCTTCATAATGTTGATCAGATTACCTTATTTAATTAATAAAATGTTATTGTCACAGATTAAAATTTTTAGTATTTTATAAATAAAGTCTTACAATGTATGGTAGGATTGTCAATGAGAAAACATTCCATTAGTCAAAGAGGATGTAAAAAAATTTAGGTCACTGTATGACTTTCAACAATGAACAAAACCATACTACTGTAAAAGCAGAAATTTTCGTGGAGGATTTAATTTTGTTTATTTTGTGGAAAGAATATATCCACGAAATTAAAACCCCCACGAAAATTTAACCTACATATAATATCACTTCAATTTACTGGAAACCACGAAATTAAATCCCCATGAAATCTTGTAAAGAGACAAAACCACGAAATTTTAACCCCAGGAAAATTAATGTTTCTACAGTATATAGTTAGCTGTAAAAGATCCTGACAAAGTGAGCAACAATCCAATCCAGAAAACTAGTGATGTTCCAATTACCATGTGCAGTATTGGTTATAATATAAAAATATCACTTGTTTTCTCTCTCTTTGCCAAGGGATAACTGTATTCCTAATTTATTCTTATTGGAAAGCAGACTGCATCAGGTTAAGATTTTATATGATAATCACAGGAATTTTAATTTTCAGAATTAGCTCCTCAGATGTAAGTGGAAGGGAAGCTATATACATTATATGTTTAAATGAAATTAACAACAGGATTAGATATTGAGGAGATCCTATAGCTACAGTATATATAAATGTAACTGGTATGTATTTGTTACAGTATTTAATTTCCAAATGGTATAACAAAAATACTGAATTCCAAGGCAATTTCAAAAAATCGTAAGGGTTCCGCAGAACCCAGTGTCTCGCCTACTTTTGCTGTTAATTGCATCATTTTCTCATCACTTGGCGTCCGTCGTCGTCCGTTAACTTTTACAAAAATCTTCTCTGAAACTATTGGGCCAAATAAAACCAAACTTGGCCTAAATCATCCTTAGGGTATCTAGTTTAAAAAAATGTATCCGTTGACCCTGGCCATCAACCAAGATGGCCAATATTGCTAAAAATAGAACATGGGGGTAAAATGCAGTTTTTGGCTTCTATCTTTGAAACCAAAGCATTTAGAGCAAATCTGACATGGGGTAAAAATGTTCATCAGGTGAATATCTATCTCTGTGTAATTGTCATACGCATCAGACAACCCGTTGTTGGGTTGCTGCCCCTGAATTGGTAATTTTAAGATATTTTTTTTCAATTTTTATACGACCACAAAAAATTATTGGTATCACGTTGTTGTCGTCGTCGCCCAAAGACACTTGGTTTCCGGACAATAACTTTAGTATTAGTAAATAGAAATCTATGAAATTTAAACATAAGGTTTATAACCACAAAAGGAAGGTTGGGATTGATTTTGGGGGTTATGGTCCCAAATAAGCATTTTTCTAGTTTCATGACAATAACTTGTGGACAGTGTATGGATCTCTCTGAAATTATACTACAAGTTACCATACCACAAAGGGATGGTTAGGATTGGCTTTGGGGGGTTATGGCTCAAACCATTTAGGAATTGGGGGCAAAAAAGTGAGAAAAAACAAGGGTGTCCTGGTTAATGGACAATTACTTAAGTACAAATTACAGTGTAAGGGAGGTAATTCAAATACATCTTGGAAATTTGAATTGAAATTAATTATGACCATAACTGAGGGAAAGATATTTTTTTTTGGAAAAAGGGGGGAGGAGACAATTTTTTCTCCTCAAGATTTCAGAAATCAAAATCAGAAAGAAAATCCTTCAAATTTTTTTTTTTTTTTAAAAAAGGGATGGAGGTCAATTCGCAACAGCATAGTGTATTACACAAAAGCAAAATTTTGAATATAAATTCAAATCATATAACCAATTCTAAGTTCTTTGACTACAGTTATTCTGTGTCAGAAACCTATTATGTGTCAAATATTGAATTGCAATCCAAATTCAGACCTGTATCAAGCACGAATATTGTGTCCATATTTGCCCCAACTGTTCAGGGTTGGACCTCTGTGGTCATATCCAGCTGCGCTCGGCAAAGCAATTTATTGGTTATTATCTTGAACATTATAATAGAGATAAACTGTAAACAGCAATAATGTTCAGCAAAATAAGATTCACAAATAAGTCAACAGGATCAAAATGGTCAATTGACCCCATAAGGAGTTATTGCACTTTAAAGTCAAATTTAACAATTTTTTTCGTAAATTTTTGTAATCTTTTACAAAAGTCTTTTCCTGAAACAACTGAGACAAATTTAACCAAACTTGGCCATAATAAGCATTAGGGTATCTAGTTTAAAAATAGAACATAGGGGGGAAAATGCAGTTTTTGACTTATATCTTTGAAACTAAAGCAAAAGTATATCGGTTGCATTATTTCATGCATCAATTGTAAAATAAAAAAAATATCAGGTGAGCGACACAGGCTCCTTGGAGCTTTTAGTTGGTATTGTAACTTAAATGAGGTTAAGACATGTAAGAAAGGGGCTTGAAAAATGAGGAATTGTGTTTCTACAAGCACTTAGTAATCTAAATCTATAATACTAAAATAACAAGGTCCTATTTGTGAGCCGGCATGACATAAAAATGACAATTCAAAGAATTCAACTTTATTTATAACTTATATATATAGGACAATGGTGTTGATTAAAAACTACACCATTCCAGGCCCATTTGTTTTCCACATAATTATTACTACAGATAATTAACAAGTTCTGGGTCGAAGGGTTCAAAAAGAAAGATTTTGAAAGCAGAGAAAACTGTGCACCTAATGACCAGCATGACATTATTAGATGACAAAACGAAAAATCTTAAAATTCAGGCTAAAAATAAGGCTAAGGTACTTTGCTTCAGTCACAAAACCATGATGTCCCGGAGTATTCTAGTATATATTATATATACAGGTAATGTGTAGTACACATGCATGAATAGAGTTAGTTTTCATTATTACGGTAATTTATGTTGATAAAAATGAGAATATGTAGTATTATTGCCAATGAGACAACTATCCACCAGAGTCCAAATGACTGAATGTTAGCAACTATAGATCACTGTATGAACAGCTTTCAACAATGAGCAAAACTGATACTGCATCTAGCAAGCTATAAAAGGTCCTGAAATTACAGATGTAATACAATTCCAATTTACGTAAAAGACATTAAACGAAAAATAAATATGATAAACAACAACTATTATATTCCACTCCAGTTGTTCACACGATATATATATATATATATATATATATATGTAAGTTTGGTAAATCATTGGAGATTAAATTGATGTTATCATTTTTTGCCTGATTGGTAATCCAATATTTGATGTATGTTTTACAAAAAATATATGCTGTTTTTGTCTCGCTTGACGGAGTCAAAAAGTGAGGCATAGGTATGCTGTTTCTGGCGTTGGTGACGACAGCGGCGTCAACAATGTATTAGTTTGTGATTAGGTCTAGTTTATAGTGAACCACAAGTAGTAAGTCGAAGATATTTGGTATGCAGTTGTATTAGTATTAGCACATCTCATTATTATTTGGCCCCGCCCCCTCAGTTATGGTTTATTGACTTAATTTGAAATTCTTGCTTAGTCTTCATGTATTAGTTTGTGATTAGGTCAGTTTATGGAAGCATTGGCATATCTCATTTCCATGGAGATTATTTGGCCCCACCCTCTCAGTCATGGTCTATTGACTTTTAAATTTTTGCTTAGTTTTCATGTATTAGTTTGTGACTAGGTCAGTTTATGGGGAACTACTAGTGGTAAGTTCATGATAATTGGTATGCAGTTAAATACGCATTGGCATATCTCATTTCCATGAAGATTATTTGGCCCTGCCCCTTCAGTCATGGTCTATTGACTTTGAAACTTTTGCTTAGTTTTCATGTATTAGTTTGTGATTAGGTCGGCTTATGGGAAACCACTAGTGGTAAGTCAATGATATTTGGTATGCAGTTGTATTAGCATTGGCACATCTCATTACCATGGAGATTATTCCCCCCCCCCTCCTCAGTTATCGTTTATTGACTTTAAAATTTTCTTAGTTTACATGTATTAGTTTGTGTTTAGGTTTTTTAAAGGGAACTACTTATGATAAGTCAATGGTATTTGGTATGCGTTGTATTAGCATTGGCACATCTAATTTCCATGGAGATTGTTTAGCCATGTACCTTTAGTCATGGTTCATTGACTTTGAATATTTGCAAATCTTACATGTTAAAGTGTTGCTATTTTAATTTCAACATTTGCATTATCGAAACTACTAAAAAGCGAGACATACATTGTATCTCTGTGATTACAGTTTATTTTTTTTATTACAGCAACTGTATTCCAAGAGTCTGATGGCTGATAATGTATTACAGGATTTTATCATTCAAGCAACATCTTAGAAGGATAAGTGCAAATGTATGAAGGAAGCCTTGGGTACAAATAGCAATTACAGCAATTACATGCAGGAGAGAACTCTTAACATTACTAACAGACATGTAGTCATTATATGGGAGTGGTGTATTCAAGAAATCTAAAACACATGGAATTAAATATCGTGTATATTTTTTCAACCACAAGTACTCTCAGAATATAATACAATTCAAATTCAAATTATTGTGCCAACATGACAATTACAGTCTAAAAATGGAAAATGCATGTTTTAAACTGATTTTTATATAAATATTTGAAATAACAAGAATTTTTAGTTTATTGTGCAGCCAAACTTTGATATCTTCTAATGGTATATGCCTGTTGTTTGTCAACATTTGTTTTCTTTTTGCCTTAACCTTAAGATTGGTGTTAAAATGAAAAACTGAAATAGATATATGAAATAAGAAGGAAATGGTTGTAAATAACAGCAAGACTTTCAATATGGTATATCAAAATATATTTCACAGAACTTTCTATTTCAGTTTATTAATACAATGAGATATGAGGTATAAATAAATCAGACAGCTACACAACAAAAACACATGAAAGGCATTAAGGTGCTAACATACAGTCCTCAACAATGAACAGGTGTCTAAACAATGTCATGATCTACTTAATTAACCAGAGTCTATACCAATCAAAGAGCTGCCATCAACACCAAATTCTTTAAATATTTTTTTTTATTAGGATGAGACTTAGACAACCACTGAAAAGGTTCCTGGCTTGAAACAGGCACAGGAATATGTGGCAGGGTGAAATACTTTTTTTCTTCAAAACTTTCAAAAGAAAAATTGGCATCTTTTGCAAGTAAGACTATTTCCATAATGGGATTGGATTGTCTCATGGCTGATAACCACAAAATGACTTGTACATACATATTAAAAATGAAATATACATTAGTGCATACATATTCTATAAATGAATCACCAATCCTTACATGACTTTTAAAAAAAGTATTGAGATTTGAACATAACCGAAAAAATTCTAGGAGTGAACTAAGGTGACCTGGATATTTGCTTGCCTTCTTTGTTTTATTGCATCTTATCTCTTGCATTGGAGATATTGTGAGTTGGGAGTTGATAGATAAATATTTTTTGTATTGTTTAGGATCAAGAAAGTAAAATATAATGGAAGTATGAACACATAGTCAAGACCAAGAAGAATATTTATATATCAAAATAGAATGTGTACTAGATTAGCATTAACTTATCTAAAATATGCTGAAATACTGTGAATTTGTGTGATTGATGCTCAATTCACCTTAATTTCATTTTGCCTGTGTATATATAGAGAAAACACATGTATAACGCATGTGTTAGAAAAATGTGTTAGAAATTGCATGTAATTCACATGAGAACTGAGAAACATGTCAACAATCATGGTAATTGGACAAATAGGAGGATATTTTGAAAAATATTTAATACAGGCACCATGCCTTTTACATGTAGTAATCACGCATGTATCACAGGTGTATTTCCTTACGCATGTGATTCACATGTGAAACGCATGATCACATGTGTGTATCATGCGTATCACATGTGTTTTTCACACATGTGTCACATGCGTGGCATGAAACGTCTCTTTCACATGCGTGTGACATGCATGTGAAACGCATGTGTCACGCATGTACACATGTGTGGCATTTTTGCCAGTGTACAGATCCATAGAGGGTTAGTATAATCCTTAGGGGGTGAGGCCGAAGGCCGAATCTCCTATGGATTTTATTCACCCTCTATGGTCCGTAGGGGGTCAGTAGTGAACCGTATAATGAATTTATCGCATACGTGACTTTTTCTGCTGCGTTTTGTAGAAAAATAAACAATGAAACACAACAACATTAATAGGATGACATCACCATTAACAGTAGACGTGACGTCATGAACCCCCTATGAAATTTACTAACCCCCTACGGATCCATAGGGGGTCACCACGTGACGGCGTTAAACCAATCACAACGTGATAATTTACCCACGGTGCAATAATAAAATTTAGACATCTAAACAATGATTTTTTTTCCATTATGATTTACAAATGATTAAAAAAAAAACACATCTTTGGACCTAAACATGTAATTTAATTTAAACTCCTTTTTTATGTGTGTTTCGTATTACTCAATATTTCACTATCTATGTAATGTTTTGTGGACATTTCCCTCTCTCTACATCCTGTTCTTTTTTGGTGTTTTTATTGATTTTAATTGGTTGTCCTTCTTCAACATCATTTTTAATTGATCTTTTCATCATTTTTTTAACTTTAGGCAAAAAGTATAATAAATAAATTGAGTTCAGCCTCTTAAAAACTAACCTCTTTGCCTTTCTCATCCTCCTCTTTAATTGTTTTATTCAACATTTCCTGCATAGTTTGCTGAAAAATAAAACAAAACTATTTCAATAAACATTGCATTTCACATGGGTTCATTCTGACATAAGGTATACAGCTGCAAGTCATTAATCTATGGCTGTTCCATAACAGGAAGTTGGATGATGTATCATGCTTAGCTTACACCCACTCAAAACTCAAAGTATCAGAAAATAGGAAGTAAGTATCTGACAGATCAAAATAGTACAGTAGACTCCACCTAATCCGATATCGGCTCAACAAATATATATGCTATTGTAATATTATTTCAAAACACCAAACCCTTCCCTATATGTTTAATGTTAATTTTATCGTGTAATCGAATATCGGATATAAGAATATTTCGGCAAATCAGATAAGAATATTCAGGAAATTTGGTTCAAAACCATGCACAATCGGATATTTTCAATGTTTTTCTGACAGGAAATGGACCCCGAAGTTACGAAATGACAATCTTGCAGACAAGAAAATTTCGTTTTTACTAAATAAAACGGAACTATTTCCTAATGAATTGTTGTCTTTATTCATTGTCTTCCTTTGTTAGTGAATAAGATGCCCTTTTGCTTCAAATGGTTCGAATTTATTTATAAAATATATAAGAGCAGTACGTTGCTGTTTGGAGAATTTTGATAGAACTCTAAATGCTCACAGAATCAGAAATATAATTTTAACTGAATGTACCTCCTTCTGAATAATTTATTGCAATATAAATATAAATCCCTTTTGACAAGAGAAATCTGACTTTTGTCAGAAATAATTTTTTTCACATGTGCATAAGTAACCACATGTCATGGACGCCATTTTGGTTTGTTTACAAATTGTGAGGAAACCTCTAGAACCATGACCTAAACATAAACAGTCTTCAGAAAACGTAAACTTGATACAATAATATTTTATCAATCATGATTATTTTCATGAATTTAAATTTACAAGTTTAGAGAATTCACAGACCATGCTTTGATCTATTTATAGCCAAATAAGTTTGCCTGTGATAATGTAAATAATGGATATTAATTTGTTTACAAAACAAATAAAGACACAAACTATGGATGGTAGATATTTAATCACATAAATATTTCAGGACATTTGATTTATTTTAATAAATATAGGATTTAAAAACTGCAAAAATATTTGAGCATTACATAACCAGCTGATAATTTTTTACACAAACATTGTGGTGATGTAACTGATTAAAATCATTCCAGCCCTTTCACATATATAACAGTGGTCAGGGCTAGTAACATCTCAGGATTAGATCTCCTCATTATTGCAGAATATTCAATGAATATACATTTATCGTCTAATTGGATATATCGGGTAATGGGATATTTTTAGCTGGCATTTTGGGTATCCCATTTGCCGGAGTCTACTGTACTGACATGCTACAACTAAGTCACTGTCAAATTATTGACAAAATAAGAAGTCATTCAGAAGTCACTGAAAAATTCAAAGTATCATCGAACCTGAAGTATGTGTCTGACAGATCTGAAAAGTGCTCACATGTTACAACTCACAACTGTTAAGTTGCTACTCAAATATATTCCTTTTGTTTCGAAGTACCTGATAACTGTGTGATAAAAAACTTTTTTGAACAAACAAATTGAAGCATTGATAGACATAGTGATTTCAATACAAAGCCCCCCATCTAAAGTGCGGATATAATTTCATTAGAATGTGTGTGCATGGGAAGATACTTTTTATAACTACAACCACCCCAAAAAAAAAAAAAAAATCTATAGACTCCTTTAAATTCTTTTTAAAGAGAATTTAAAAATGTTACTTTACTATTTCTCATAAAACAGAACATTAAGGACTTGATAAAATACAACAAACACATTGGAAAATAACAGAAAAATAAAAGGAAACTGAGGCTAATACAAAATAAGTGAAGCAAAGATAATTCATACCTTTAACATGGGATTTTCTAATGTTGCCACTCTGTCTTCTTGTGACTGTCTACGTCTCCTGATCTCCTCAACCTGTCTTTTTAGCTCAGTCAATTTACCGGCTAACTCTGCTGATTCTGTATCATTGTTCATGCCATCCTGACTCTCAGAATTAGCCATGTCAAGACTCGCATACGATGTCTGTCGAGGGATAAAGGAACTGCTTCGAGACATCTCATCTTCTCCACTATCCATGATGTTCACATCTTTTTCATCGTCTTCATCTGAACTGCTTAATTCTCCAAATATAGCTAAAAAAAATGAAATTTACATTGTACATACATATTTTGAAAATTTTATGATAAATTGAGAAACAGAACTGTTATCAATTTTTTAAATCTTCTTAAAAACTTGGTTTGCAATTAAAAATAAATATACATGATATAAAAGGCCCTCTACTTGTAGATATGCATACCTCCTTATCTTTTTATTGTACATAAATCAGGACAACAGGTTTCTCATTTGAATGTTTTTGCATAGATCTGCCATCTCATGGTCTTTAATAGCTGACTATGCAGTATGGGTTTTGCACATAGTTGAAGGCTGTGCAGTGACTTATAGTTGTTAAATTCTATGTCATTTGGTCTCTGGTGGAGAATTATCTCATTGGCAATCATACAACATCTTATTTTTATACTGTAAGTATTTTTGTCAACAATTGTATCATATATAGTTGTCTTCATTAGAATTAATATTCACCATAACCAATTTTAGACTTACAGTCATACTAAAACTCTGTACAGTGGTTTATTAGTACTTACCATAATCTAGACTAGTGGTTGTATCAGATCTGTGTATCTGTGATTTGTCAATACTTACCATAATCTAGACTAGTGGTTGTATCAGATCTGTGTATCTGTGATTTGTCAATACTTACCATAATCTAGACTAGTGGTTGTATCAGATCTGTGTATCTGTGATTTGTCAATACTTACCATAATCTAGACTAGTGGTTGTATCAGATCTGTGTATCTGTGATTTGTCAATACTTACCATAATCTAGACTAGTGGTTGTATCAGACCTGTATATCTGTGATTTGTCAATACTTACCATAATCTAGACTAGTGGTTGTATCAGATCTGTGTATCTGTGATTTGTCAATACTTACCATAATCTAGACTAGTGGCTGTATCAGACCTGTGTATCTGTGATTTGTCAATACTTACCATAATCTAGACTAGTGGTTGTATCAGATCTGTGTATCTGTGATTTGTCAATACTTACCATAATCTAGACTAGTGGTTGTATCAGATCTGTGTATCTGTGATTTGTCAATACTTACCATAATCTAGACTAGTGGTTGTATCAGATCTGTGTATCTGTGATTTGTCAATACTTACCATAATCTAGACTAGTGGTTGTATCAGATCTGTGTATCTGTGATTTGTCAATACTTACCATAATCTAGACTAGTGGTTGTATCAGACCTGTATATCTGTGATTTGTCAATACTTACCATAATCTAAACTAGTGGTTGTATCAGATCTGCGTATCTGTGATTTGTCAATACTTACCATAATCTAGACTAGTGGTTGTATCAGACCTGTATATCTGTGATTTGTCAATACTTACCATAATCTAGACTAGTGGTTGTATCAGATCTGTGTATCTGTGATTTGTCAATACTTACCATAATCTAGACTAGTGGTTGTATCAGATCTGTGTATCTGTGATTTGTCAATACTTACCATAATCTAGACTAGTGGTTGTATCAGACTTGTATATCTGTGATTTGTCAATACTTACCATAATCTAGACTAGTGGTTGTATCAGATCTGTGTATCTGTGATTTGTCAATACTTACCATAATCTAGACTAGTGGTTGTATCAGACCTGTATATCTGTGATTTGTCAATACTTACCATAATCTAGACTAGTGGTTGTATCAGATCTGTGTATCTGTGATTTGTCAATACTTACCATAATCTAGACTAGTGGTTGTATCAGATCTGTGTATCTGTGATTTGTCAATACTTACCATAATCTAGACTAGTGGTTGTATCAGATCTGTGTATCTGTGATTTGTCAATACTTACCATAATCTAGACTAGTGGTTGTATCAGACCTGTATATCTGTGATTTGTCAATACTTACCATAATCTAGACTAGTGGTTGTATCAGATCTGTGTATCTGTGATTTGTCAATACTTACCATAATCTAGACTAGTGGTTGTATCAGATCTGTGTATCTGTGATTTGTCAATACTTACCATAATCTAGACTAGTGGTTGTATCAGACCTGTATATCTGTGATTTGTCAATACTTACCATAATCTAGACTAGTGGTTGTATCAGACCTGTATATCTGTGATTTGTCAATACTTACCATAATCTAGACTAGTGGTTGTATCAGACCTGTATATCTGTGATTTGTCAATACTTACCATAATCTAGACTAGTGGTTGTATCAGACCTGTATATCTGTGATTTGTCAATACTTACCATAATCTAGACTAGTGGTTGTATCAGATCTGCGTATCTGTGATTTGTCAATACTTACCATAATCTAGACTAGTGGTTGTATCAGACCTGTATATCTGTGATTTGTCAATACTTACCATAATCTAGACTAGTGGTTGTATCAGATCTGTGTATCTGTGATTTGTCAATACTTACCATAATCTAGACTAGTGGTTGTATCAGACTTGTATATCTGTGATTTGTCAATACTTACCATAATCTAGACTAGTGGTTGTATCAGATCTGTGTATCTGTGATTTGTCAATACTTACCATAATCTAGACTAGTGGTTGTATCAGACCTGTATATCTGTGATTTGTCAATACTTACCATAATCTAGACTAGTGGTTGTATCAGACCTGTATATCTGTGATTTGTCAATACTTACCATAATCTAGACTAGTGGTTGTATCAGATCTGTGTATCTGTGATTTGTCAATACTTACCATAATCTAGACTAGTGGTTGTATCAGATCTGTGTATCTGTGATTTGTCAATACTTACCATAATCTAGACTAGTGGTTGTATCAGATCTGTGTATCTGTGATTTGTCAATACTTACCATAATCTAGACTAGTGGTTGTATCAGATCTGTATATCTGTGATTTGTCAATACTTACCATAATCTAGACTAGTGGTTGTATCAGACCTGTGTATCTGTGATTTGTCAATACTTACCATAATCTAGACTAGTGGTTGTATCAGATCTGTGTATCTGTGATTTGTCAATACTTACCATAATCTAGACTAGTGGTTGTATCAGATCTGTGTATCTGTGATTTGTCAATACTTACCATAATCTAGACTAGTGGTTGTATCAGATCTGTGTATCTGTGATTTGTCAATACTTACCATAATCTAGACTAGTGGTTGTATCAGACCTGTATATCTGTGATTTGTCAATACTTACCATAATCTAGACTAGTGGTTGTATCAGACCTGTATATCTGTGATTTGTCAATACTTACCATAATCTAGACTAGTGGTTGTATCAGATCTGTGTATCTGTGATTTGTCAATACTTACCATAATCTAGACTAGTGGCTGATACAGATCTGTGTATCTGTGATTTGTCAATACTTACCATAATCTAGACTAGTGGTTGTATCAGACCTGTATATCTGTGATTTGTCAATACTTACCATAATCTAGACTAGTGGTTGTATCAGACCTGTGTATCTGTGATTTGTCAATACTTACCATAATCTAGACTAGTGGTTGTATCAGACCTGTATATCTGTGATTTGTCAATACTTACCATAATCTAGACTAGTGGTTGTATCAGATCTGTGTATCTGTGATTTGTCAATACTTACCATAATCTAGACTAGTGGTTGTATCAGACCTGTATATCTGTGATTTGTCAATACTTACCATAATCTAGACTAGTGGTTGTATCAGATCTGTGTATCTGTGATTTGTCAATACTTACCATAATCTAGACTAGTGGTTGTATCAGATCTGTGTATCTGTGATTTGTCAATACTTACCATAATCTAGACTAGTGGTTGTATCAGATCTGTGTATCTGTGATTTGTCAATACTTACCATAATCTAGACTAGAAGTTGTATCAGATCTGTGTATCTGTGATTTGTCAATACTTACCATAATCTAGACTAGTGGTTGTATCAGATCTGTGTATCAGCGGTTTGTCACTTCCTCCTTTTGTCTGACTTGATGATGCTTTATCTTCCTCGGTGATTAACTCCCATTTAACATCAATAGCCTCGGCATCCTGTCTAAACAGTCGCTTTACTTCTTTTTCAATGTCCGGTTGTTCCATGTACTGCAAAAGTAACAAATATAAAATTGCCAAAGAAACAAAAAAATTGAGGTTTTTACCCCAAATATCTTTTTATTCATATACTGTAAATTCAAAAATTATTGGAAGGTTTTTATTTAATATTTGAATAATGTGACTGTGTGCGTATTACAATAATAAGAACTCTATTCTGATATCTGACACATATATCCGTATTTTTGTTAGACAATAATGTTATGGTCCATAAGAAATATAAAAGATGGAGTGGTGCTCATTGTCCAGTGACAAAAATTTAATGCATAATATATCTATTTTTGATGAGATAGTAAACAAGGAAACATAGTAACAAACTAGTAACATTATCCTGCCTCGGAATCAACAATGCAGCTTGCTTGCGGGAGAAGCAGCATATACAATTTTCATGTCTTTGATGTAACATTTTTATGTCACTGTGTTCTAAATTTTCAACTGACAATATACTGTACGTTTGTATTTTAAAAAAGATCAATTTTCTATGAATTACATTTAATTTGCACTTTTTTTATTTTTTGCCTTAACCTTTTGCATGTTAGATGACTTAAATGTGTTAACTTTATAGCTGTTTACTTTCTGAAGATGATCTCTTACTAAACTTACCAATATCCCTGAAAAAATCAACCTCAAGTACAAGCTAATTCAAAAAAGATTTAATAAATAGCTTCGCTGAGCGCAGCTGGATACGACCGCAGATGTCCAACCCTGAAAAGTTGGGCCAAAATGGACACAATATTCACGCTTGATACAGGTCTGAATTTGGATTGTAACTAAATTTTTGTCACATAATAGGTTTCTGACACAGAATAACTGTAGTCAAAGAACTTCAAATTGGTTATATGATTTGAATTTATATTCAATTTATTGCTTTTGTGCAATACACTATGCTGTTGCGAATTGACACCCCCCCCCCTCCTACCAAAAAAAAATTTATTTTACCCCAGTTTTTTGCTTTTGTGCAATACACTATGCTGTTGAATATTAACCCCTCCAAAAAAATATTTTAAAATTTTCTTTTAATTTCTGAAATCTGAAATGAGAAAAATTGCCCCCCCCCCTCCAATTTTTTTCACCTCCCCACTTTCCCTTATTCCCCCTAAAAATTCTTTCCCTCAAGATATGGTCAGTATCTCAATTCAAATTTCTAATGCAGTTTGCAACCAAAATTACCAATTTAAATACATCATAAAAGTTTTAAAATATAAAATGACATACATAGTCATGGCTAAAATTAATATTAACAAGAAATGATTGTAACAGGATGCTGTTACGAAGTCTCCCAAACGAAGCTCCCATAATTCGTAATTCCCAGTTGCCTGACATTGGACAAAGTCCAGTGAAAATTGGTTTGGTCCAGTAAAGTTAATGCATTAGTGATGCCTGGGGACTAACCCTGTATATCATTCAAATCATCTTGGCATGACAAACCAGAATATATATGGTTTAGGGGTGGGGATCTCGACCATTTACAAGATACTAGAACATTGGGGGTGGGGGGAACCCCTGGGGACTGACCCTATACATCATTCAAATGTTCGAGAAACGACGAACAGGAATATATATGGTCTAGGGGTGGGGATCTCGACCATTTACAAGATATTAGAACATTGGGGGTGGGGGGAACTCAGTGGGGACTGACCGTATACGTCATTCAAATGTTCGAGACATGATGAACAGGAATATATATGGTTTAGGGGTGGGGATCTCGACCATTTGCAAGATATTAGAACTTTCTCAAATGGCAGGAGGTCGGGATGACCCCTGGGGACTAACCCTGTATATCATTCAAACCATCTTGGTATGACAAACCAGAATATATATGGTTTAGGGGTAGGGATCTTGACCACTTACAAGATATTAGAACTTTCTTAAATAGCAGGGGGTGGGGTGACCCCTGGGGACTAACCCTGTATATCATTCAAACCATCTTGGTATGACAAACCAGAATATATGGTTTAGGGGTGGGGATCTTGACCACTTACAAGATATTAGAACTTTCTTAAATAGAAGGGGCTGGGGGTGACCCCTGGGGACTAACCCTGTACATGTATTTCATTTCATGTGCTTTATCATGACAAACCAGAATATATATGGTTTAGGGGTGGGGATCTTGACCACTTACAAGATATTAGAACTTTCTTAAATGGCAGGGGGTGGGGGTGACCCCTAGGGACTAACCCTGTATTTCATTTGATGTGCTTTATCATGACAAACCAGAATATATATGGTTAAGGGGTGGGGATCTCGACCATTTACAAGATATTAGAACTTTCTCAAATGGCAGGGGGTCGGGATGACCCCTGGTGACTAACCCTGTATATCATTCAAACCATCATAGAATGACAAACCAGAATATATATGGTTTAGGGGTGGGGATCTTAACCACTTACATTAGAACTTTCTTGAATGGCTGGGGGTGGGGGTGACCCTCAGGACTAACCCTGTATTTCATTTGATGTGCTTTATCATGACAAAGCAGAATATATATGGTTTAGGGGTGGGGATCTCGACCATTTACAAGATATTAGAACTTTCTCAAATGGCAGGGGGTCGGGATGACCCCTGGGGACTAACCCTGTATATCATTCAAACCATCTTAGCATGACAAACCAGAATATATATGGTTTAGGGGTGGGGATCTCGACCATTTACAAGATATTAGAACTTTCTCAAATGGCAGGGGGTTAGGATGACCCCTGGGGACTAACCCTGTATATCATTCAAACCATCTTAGCATGACAAACCAGAATATATATGGTTTAGGGGTGGGGATCTCGACCATTTACAAGATATTAGAACTTTCTCAAATGGCAAGGGGTCGGGATGACCCCTAGGGACTAACCCTGTATATCATTCAAACCATCTTAGCATGACAAACCAGAATATATATGGTTTAGGGGTGGGGATCTTGACCACTTACAAGATATTAGAACTTTCTTAAATGGCATGGGGGTGGGGGTGACCCCTGGGGACTAACCCTGTATTTCATTTCATGTGCTTTATCATGACAAACCAGAATATATATGGTTTAGGGGTGGGGATCTCGACCATTTACAAGATATTAGAACTTTCTCAAATGGCAGGGGGTCGGGATGACCCCTAGGGACTAACCCTGTATATCATTCAAACCATCTTAGCATGACAAACCAGAATATATATGGTTTAGGGGTGGGGATCTTGACCACTTACAAGGTATTAGAACTTTCTTAAATGGCAGGGGGTGGGGATGACCCCTGGGGACTAACCCTGTATTTCATTTAATGGGTTTTATCATTTAGAACATTTTCAATTAAAAAGATTGTGTCTATCACAAACGGTTTTCAATTTATAATCATTTGAAAATTTAAAAAAATAAAATCCCATAGGGTTCTATAGTAAAACCCTCTTTTCTTTTTGCCCCTCAAAGTATCCCTTTATAAACCCCATTGCACAAACAAAACCCTGATTGCACCACTAGACATGTTAGTCTAACATATTGTGAAACCCTAAGTTAATCTGACAAGCGGTTTTGGAGAACGGGTGCGGACAAGTTCAAATTTAAAAGCGGCGGAAGAGGAAGAGGAAGAGGAAGAGGAAGAAGAATAATAATAATAATAAGAACTGAGCAAAAACAATAAGTCTTCCCAAACTTCGTTTGGGAGACTTAATTAATAGTAACTGCTAAAAATAAATTGACAGCTAATCACCTCAAGATAATCATCATTTCTTAATACATAATTTACAAGCAGTGTAAGGGAGGTAATCAAACAGTGTTCTTTAATTTGAATTGGATTACCTCCCTTACACTGCTTTTAAATTGTCTCAATTGTCCTTTAACCAGAAAAACCCTTGTTTTTCCCCTTTTTTTGCCCCTAATTACTAAATGGTTTGAGCCATAACCCCCCAAAGTCAATCCTAACCATCCCTTTGTTGCATGTAAGTTTGTGGTATAATTTCAGAGAGATTCATACACTTTAACACAAGTTATTGTCTGGAAACTACAAAAATGGTTATTTGGGCCCCTTTTTTGGCCCCTAATTCCTCAACAATTGAGACCATAACCCCCAAATTCAATCCCAACCTTCCTTTAGTGGTTATAAACCTTGTGCTAAAATTTTATTGATTTCTATTTACGTATACTAAAGTTATTATCCAGAAACCATCTGTCTTCTGATGACGACGACGACGACAACGTGATACCAATATACGACCAAAAATTTTTTAATTTTTACGGTCGTATAAAAAATTACTTGTTGGAACATTAAGAAGCTGTGTAACTTTATATGCATAATAATTTCCACACGCTTACTTAAACTTTAAATATTGTTGAGGTAATTTGAATGATGCCAATTCTATATGAATTCATAATTATTTACCTGTTTTGAAAATTGTATATTTCATAACAATTTCTTATTTGATATTTCTTATGTGTGTGTTTGTTTTATTATTTTGTAATTGTTTGTTTGTTATATTTCAATGCATTTCATGAGGGCCTCAGGGAAGATTAGTGTTAAAGCTAACTGTGTAACCCTCTTTAAATAAAAAATTATTATTATTATATTATTATTATTATTATTATTATTATTATTAAATATACAATCAAAGTGTAAAAATGTATGAACCAAAATGAAAATCTTTACCTAAATCACTCAAGCCTTTAATGTAGATCATAAAGGCATAAATAGTACTATACATATCAGTGTTCCCGCCTGCCCTAAATAGAAGGGCGGCCCGCCCTTGGTGCCCTTACCCCTGCCCTTCTGCCGTCCAAAGCAAAAGAATGCACCCCTCTGCCTTTTCAAAAAAATAAAATTTCCAAATGTCATGCCTATCGGCGTTTCCGGTAAAATTGTTACCTGATTGTGTAACACTAATTAACTGACAATGGGATTAAATTAAATACCTAATTAATGCCTTTGGCAGTTTTATCACCTTTGTTAATGATTGTTTACTGCTAATTAGTGGATTTAAGATAATTGAACAAATACTAGATATTTAATTCAGAATTAAATGTCCACATGTTATCCATTTGTAATGTGTATGTACAGCATGTACACCTGAAAAAATTTATTTCAGTAGGCATAACATAAAAAATAAAATCTAAAACAATTTTAAAGGCATACACAGTTTTGAGTAAATTGGTAAAACTGTTTTGTTTCATAACCATGAGTATGAAATTTAAAGAAGAATCAAAGAAATTTGTACTTTGAACATAACAAGATTGCACCACTTCCTGTTTTACTTCTTGTATTTTATAATCCTCCTTTTATAGGAGCACTCCACAAATGCTTTTATTTTTAACAATGATGGAGAAAAAGTAACTGTTTATACCTTCTGCAATATATGCAATATATTATTGCATCAATATAATATGATCATCTCCTGTCTCACCTGTTATATTTTTAAAACTCCTTACTTAGGAGCACTTTGGTGTGCACTTAAAAATACTTTTTTGTAACAATTGAAATGATAATAAATAACTTTAATAACAATATACTATAGGGGGATTGATCAAGCAATTTAAATGTAGATAATTTAATTGATTAAACATTCAATTTTGCATGTATAACTCCATCTTTCAAAACTACTTGTTTATTTTTATAGACTGGTATAAGTTATAAAACATTGAAATTTCTGATGATTATTTTCCTTACCAAATGTACAAGTTTGTTTAGATTAACATCAAAATGATATGCTTTGCTTCATGGTATGATAATTTGATAAAATTCTTACTGGAACCAACATCAAGAACACATTAATTTCTGAATATGGTTTAAATACAACTAATGTTCTCCAGCTGAGCCTAACAATATTCAAGGTAATTTATACACTGTCCAACAGTGCCCTTATAATCTGGGTTATTACGCTAAAGTGCCCTTTCAGACAACTAGCACCCTTCTGCCCTGAGATTCAAGCTGGAACACTGCATATTTTAAACTGATGTACTATCCAAAATAAGAGTAAAATGGATATATCAATGATATATTATTAAAGGTTTCTGGGAAATGACTAAGAGTCAACACAAAAGGCTTTAAAACAGTTGTGCCATTTAAGAAATATCAATGTCAAAAAATTTATGTTAAGGATGTTTGCTCCCCTGTTTAAAAAAACAAGCTTTTTAAAAGACTGTTTTAAATTGATAGTATATTAATAAGGGAACTTAAAAAGCAGAAAAAAAAATGATAGGTCTGTGTCCTTGTTTTTGAGATGTAATCATTGAAAATTTGGCAGGAAATGATTCTCTCTAGAGTTTTCCTACATCTAACATTGGCACCTTTTTTCTTTCAAAAACTATGAAAAAGTAACAAGGATTTTATAAGATTTTCAAAAATCAAGTTTTAAACTATATGTAATAAAATTATGGAAAAAAAAGTAGGTGTTAGCGGGCAAAAATTTTATTGGCACTACATGGATAAAACTAGAGGATTCAGAATATCTGACGATAAGTAAAAAAACAAGAGTAGTGAACTTCCTTAATATTTCCCATTACCTTTTTCTTTAACGTTTTCCTGAATCTTCTTTTCTTCACGTTTTTCAAAGGTGGAGTAACTGAAAAGAAGAAAGTTGAATCAATATGAACTTTCAAAGTACATGTAAAGTTGAACTAATTGTAATGATGTTCTATTAAAACTAAAAATTGAAAGGTTATAATCGAGAGCTCCCAAATTAAAGGACTTTTGGTGAACAATCTCTTTGGTGAACAATCTCATTTTACTTGACCTTATATATGGCGTCCTCAAAATCAAAAGGTGTTTTTCTATTAAACATATTAAATGACTTATATTCAAGTAAGGATGTAATCTTCTCCTTACAAGTGACTATTATCCAAGAAAGGTTACAATCCCATATAGTATTTGAATTAGATTCCAGAAACCACTTTCCTGCACAAATTTGGCATATTTTTAGTAACGATGACCTTGTCCTTGAACATAGTGACCCCAAAATCGTTAAGGATGTTCCTCTCAGTCTACATGTATCTGTTCTTATATTCAAGGAAGGCTGCAATTGGATTTCATGTATTTGGTTTAGAATCCCAAAGCCAAAATGACTGACAGACTGACAATTGTCAATAAAAAGACTTAGAGTGCATGATATGCCCTTATTGTGCATATTGAAATTGTTACAAGAATCAAATTGTATATTCTGAAGGCATTTAATCATATGTTCACCAATTCTAACAATTATGCAAAGTTTTCACTAAATTAATCAAAGCAAACTCAAGTCATTGTATAATATGTGAAAAACTTACTAAAATCTGACAATTAAAGTCCCATAACTCTGTAGCGACAAATTAGAAAATTGAAAAAAAATCAATAGGGTTTCCTTTCATCAATCTCACTATAATGTAAAGATTGGAGGAAATCAATCCAGGAATACTGGAGTAAATGCATGATTTGTGAATAATTGTCTTAAAACTATGGTCAAAGTTCCATAACTCTGAAAAGACAAATCCAAAAATGAAAAAAAAAAATAAAAAGGGAGCTTTCTTCCATCAATATAATGTTGTATTTCAGTTATATAAGAATTGGTTAACATGAATTTGAGTTATCATACAAAGAGTGTATGGACGGACAGATAGACAGACAGATGGACATTGGCATACCATAATATGTCCCGTCCAGTCTTTGATAGGCATATAAAGACTATTTACCGTTCTACTTAGTTGTGTGGGGATTAATTAACAAACAACAGTGTAATTTCATAATCAATCATGATTGGTTCCCAAATAAAACATCCTAACTCCAATCTATATTTGAAGGGCTCAAAAACCGCTACATGATAGTTGACTAGGACTGTTAGTTTTCCTATTAAAGGTCGGTTGATCTCTCTAGGCACTCCGGCTTCCTCCACCAATAAAAACTTACCACAATAGTGCCGAAAGTGGTGTTAAACACCAATCAATCAATCAAAGAATCAGAACTATCATGTCTTTGATATTCCTCTTAAATTTCAAATTTTCAAGTCTTTAATTTGACCCTGCTTTGAACCAATGACCGTAAGCAAGTGCAAGCCTTAGACTGCCATTATAAACATTTTTTGTACTTTTTTGTACTGCAAATTCATTTTAATTTTTTAGTGTCTACATCCTAACGCTACCTTTTGGATTACAGATTTAACACTTACTTCCATGAATATATTGGTACTTTTTATCTTTGTCTTTTTTCTTTGGACTATCATTTTCATCTGACATCGGTTCTTCATCATTTGTGCATAACAACATCTGAAAATCAAATTATAATGTTTTGCCATTGGTATCCTTAAAATCATATAGAATATATATATATATATATATGTCAGTACACATAGGCAGACATACATATATATATATAAATTTACAGTGATTGTATGATTGTATACCATTAAAAATACTTTGTGTATTGTGTTTAAGATGTCCTTGTTTAATTCCTACGAGAAGTTAACACCTCCTGAAACGAAAGCTGATTTTTTTATCAGCTATAGTTAGAGGAGGGGATAAGGCGTCTGCGCAATGCTAGGCGGTGTTGTCATAGAAGTATGAAGTGAAAAGTGAAAAGTACAGGTTCCAGCCCCAGTCGTGGAGGAAGTAAAGAATCAGATCTACTCTAACATAGTTAGGTTGATTTTCTAAACACTTTATATATATATATATATGTAACACTCCAAAACGTGTCCATCCCCCCAAACGTGTCTATTTCGCCAAAACGTGTCCTTAAAATCCCAAATCGCCCATTCATGTCCAATTTCACATCCCCAAACGTGTCCAATAATTGTTATTCGCCAAAACGTGTCCACTTTAAGACGCCTGAACGTCTCAAAACTTTTAGCGCTATTATGTTCTCAGTGAGTTAATAACCTCTACGGCAATTAATTTGTCGGGGACACGATTTAAGATGTCGGGTTTCGCTTAGATCCTATAAAAAGATTAATGCTGTATTCAAAAGACATAAATGCTGAAGTATTTTGGCACAATTACTGGAGATTAAACTAGAGGCTCTCAAGAGCCTGTGTTGCTCACCTGTATTTACTGATGCTTTGGAAATCATGTAAAATAAGGTTAAAATCATAATTAATAGTATTAGATATTAGATATTATAATGATATCAAAGATAATAAAAAACTGCAAAATTTTTGTAAAATTACTAACTCAGGGGCAGCAACCCAACAACAGGTTGTCGAATTCGTCTGAAAATTTCAGGGCAGATAAATCTAAATCTGATGAACATTTTTGCCACCTGTCAGATTTGCTCTAAATGCTTTAGTTTCAGAGATATAAACCAAAAACTGCATTTTACCCCTATGTTCTATCTTTAACCAAGTTGGCCATGATGGTTGGAAGGCGGGGTCATCGGACAAATGTTTTAAACTAGATACCCTAATAATGATTATGGCCAAGTATGGTTAAATTTGTCTCAGTAGTTTCAGAAAAGAAGATTTTTGTAAAAGATTACAAAAATTAACGAAAAATTGTTAAAAATTGACTATTAAGGGCAATAACTCCTAAAGGGGTCGACTGACAATTTTGGTCATGACAACTTATTTGTAGATCTTACTTTGCTGAACATTATTGCTGTTTACAGTTTATCTCTATCTATAATAATATTCAAGATAATAACCAAAAACTGCAAAATTTCCTTAAAATTACCAATTCAGGGGCAGCAACCCAACAACAGGTTGTCAGATTTGTCTGAAAATTTCAGAGCAGATAGATCTTGACCTGATAATCAGTTTTACCCACGTCAGATTTACTCTAAATGCTTTGGTTTCAGAAATATAAGCCAAAATCTACATCTTGGTTGGTTGGCCGGGTCATCGGACACATTTCTAAACTAGATACCCTAATGATGATTGTGGCCAAGTTTGGTTAAATTTGGCCCAGTGGTTTCAGAGGAGAAGATTTTTGTCAAAAGCTAACAACGACAGACGACGACGAAGACAATGACGACGGACGCCAAGTGATGAGAAATGCTCACTTGGCCCTTAGGGCCAGGAGAGATAAAAAGGAACAGAGTTTAAAGAAGAAAATTCTAAATTTGTTAGCAATAGTTTGTTCAACGTCGGCTGTTTATATTAGTATAATTGCAAGTTTGATTTGCAACATATGAATTTACTCTTCATTGTTGATTGCTTATAGTCCAGTTACAAATATTTCATGCATATTCAGAACGACAACATAAATAAATACAAAAGGTAGATCTATCTCTTCCTACACGTGGACATGACTGCGTACTTTTACATCCCACAGAGTTAAATGGACACCCAACTTTGGCAAGGATTTAACTGTCGGTTGGAAGAAAACCTAATTAACCATGTTTCTATTCTTCATTCACGCTTGGAGGTAGGACAATAGATGAAAGAGTAAATTAAAAGGAATATACGTCAATAGAAGAACAATAACCAAAATTTGCCATTAAACAAAATTATAAATTTTAATATTGGTGGACATGTAATTGTTACTTGAAGGTCAAAATTTAATCAATTAAATTGGCACTTGAAAATATGGACAAGATTGAGCGTTCATAAAAGGAAACGTTTAGACTTGATATGGACACGTTTGGGGGAATGGACATGTTTGTGCATTCATAAAACTGACACGTTTCGGCACCCTTTTGCAACTAGACATGTTTTGAATTCAGCGACGTCATATGGAAACGTTTGGGAGAATTGGACACATTTGGGGGGGATGGACACGTTTCTGAGTGTTACATATATATATAAAACAGATGGTGCACACTACCATTTATATCTTTATACAAATGTTGTTCTATTTAATTACAGTTAAAAACAACATAAATTAAGATGGGGTTCAAAGTCAGGTTTCTCAATCTTTAGTTTTATGTGTAGTATTTTATGGACTGTAGCTTGTTTATCTTTTTTCTCTTGGCCGTGGATTTGTCTGTCTTTTTTCATTTAATGGTTTATGATTACTCCTACTGTATATCACTCCTTTTTTTTTGAACAGATGTGACATATATGGAAAAAGTGAAATTATTTACAAATCTTAAGGATTTAAGGGGAAGGTCACTTCTTTTTAGGGTGCACTTTCTCAGGGCCTTATGTAGGATTTTAGAGAGGTAAAAAAACTCATTTAAGATAACAGACATGCATTTTGTGTACAAAAAAACTCTACAGTGATACTTGAATCAAAAAAAGTTTAAAGACCCAAATCAAGTACCAAGAAGTTAATTAAAGAAGCGAGCAGGAAAAAGGGAGAAAGTGGATTTTGATTATCCTATCTGTTTCATAATGTGATATATAATACATAATAACATAATGTCATAATGCATATGAAAACATATATATATTAACTCTAATATCTATACCTGACATAAATCTGCAGTTTTATAAGCTGTTTTGTTATCAATGGTTTTATAAGATTCTATTACACAAGGCAAATCCATCAGCTAAAATAGAAAATAATTAATACATTTTGATGCTGTAAATTCAGAAATTTTTTCAATGTTTTCAGTATTGTGAAAAAAAGTTGAAGGATTAGTATGACATGTATGATTAGAATCCCATTATCTAAAATTTTGCATTTTAAATTTTTATAACATACAATAATGTGACAAGGTAAAAATTTCATCATATGAATGTCTCTACACAACGGGAGTCGGCAAAATACTTGTACACAGTTCCTGGGCCTGTCAACTATGCATTACAACGTGATATATAACAGTAAGGGTGCAAATCATAACAGTTACCAGGGTACTTTAAAAATAAAATTCAAATCAATATTTGTCTTTTCAGATAGCTGGAAAAGGTGATCATAAAAGTTACCAAAGGCTTGTACCTTTCACCTTTTCCAAGGACAAAACGTCCAAGAAATCTTTGGGATAATTTTAGTTATAATGATGTTCAGCCCCTTTTAAAGTCTTACCTTTGCATGAAATATATCTGTTCCATATCTAACGGCACCATGTCTATGGTCCTGGTTCAGTTCTATACTTATTCTATCTTTAAGTGTCATGGACCCTGATTGAACCTCTCTTCGTAAGGCCATAGCAGATCCCTAAAATTAAACAATAAAACAGTCTATATATACAAGGTATGTGACCCTCAGCAGCTCCGGACCTCTAACATATCTAACAAAGAGTTGCGACATAAGCCCATGATACGCCCGTTGCTTTTTCAACAAATAAAGATCCATAACTCCTCAATGTCTGATTGTCATATCAGAAATTTAAAAAAAAACTAAAGGGAGATTATTTTAATAGATTTAAACCAGTCACCAAAGTTTCTTGAAAACTGCTCAAACCGTTTTTAAGTTATTGTCCGAAAACAGGAAAATCCCCCATTTCTTATGAATCAAGTCCCAATACTCATGATACTCCGAAATGTAAAAACAGAAATTTTAAAAAATCAAAAGGGAACTTATGTCAATATACATGCATATAAACAATTCACCAAAGTTTCATGAAAATTGTTCAAAGCATTTTTGAGTTAAAGTTGGAAAACTGGAAAATCCCCCATTTTTTTATGAAAAAAGTCCCATAACTCTGAAACGTAAAATCTATACTGTGGATTCTAATCTTCGTGGATTTTGTGGGTACAGGTGAACCAGGAAATTAAATGTTCAATGAATGACAAATTTTCTATAGGCTTGTATGCAGACTTAGGTAAAAACCACGAATTTAAATATCCACGAACATTTAAGTTTTCCTTAATCCACAAAAATGGGTACCCACGAAAATAAATGAATCCACAGTAATTTATAAAAAATTGAAAGGGAGCTTTTTATAATGTCCATAGATATAAACAATTCACCAAAGTTTTATGAAAATTGGTTAAAGCATTTTTGAGTTATTGTTCGACATGTTGACAGCGGACGGACGGGCAGACAGACAACTGTATACCATAATGCCTCCTGTAAACAGTCGTATCAAAAAGGGAGGTGAAAGATACCAAAGGGACATTCAAACTCATTAGTCGTAATAAACTGACAACGCAATGGCAAAAATAAAAGAATACAGAAATTGAAGACCCAAGCCACCCTCCCCAACCCCATAAATGTCCTAAAGTCAGAATTATGTAGAAAAATCATGACTGAGTAGGTATTTCAATACTAGGAAAAATTTTAATTGAGTTATCTTTCTTGTTTTTGGTGTACTCCTACTCTTCAGAGGATTATAAACAATAGAAGCACATTCAATTAATGGCCGTCCGTTTTTTTTTCTATATCAAAAGCGAGGGCAGACAAAGACAAAAAAATTCGTAAGGGTTCCGCGGAACCCAGTGTCTCGCCTACTTTTTGCTGTTAATCACAGGCTCAACAAAAATGAGGAAAAAAATTAATAAAAATATTCCTCTCTATACTATCTTTTGATTGTAAGTAGCTTCTGTCCAAGTTTGGTAAAAATCCAGGATAGTATATGAATCTTATAAATGTTTTAAAAACTTCAACTGCAGACTGTATGTAATGTTAACTGGAAGAAAAACTAAGTCCATTTATAAGTAAAATACGGTAAAAATGGAGCAAAATTTCTTTCTAGATACTAGCTTTTAATCATAAACAAGCTTCTGTCCAAGTTTGGTACAAATCCAGGATAGTTTAAGAAAGTTGTTAAAATTTTAAAAACTTTAACCACAGAGTGAATGTAATGTTAACTGGCAGAAAAACTAAGTCCATTTATAAGTAAAAAACGGAAAAAATGGAATTTTTTTTTTACAAAATTTAATTCTGGATACTATCTTATGATCATAAACAAGCTTCTTTCCAAGTTTGGTAGAAATCCAGGATAGTTTAAGAAAGTTATTAAAATTTCAAAAACTTTAACCACAGAGTGAATGTAATGTTTCCTGGCAGAAAAACTAAGTCCATTTATAAGTAAAATACGGAAAAAATGGAATTTTTTTTTAACAAAATTTACTTTTGAATATTATCTTATGATCATAAACAAGCTTCTGTCCAAGTTTGGTAGAAATCCAGGATAGTTTAAGAAAGTTATTAAAATTTCAAAAACTTTAACCACAGAGTGAATATTTGTGGACGCCGCCGACGACGACGACGCCGACGGAATGTAGGATCGCTATGTCTCGCTTTTTCGACAAAAGTCGAAGGCTCGACAAAAACATCTGAATTTAACATTTTTAACAGAATTCAAGAAATACGATGTTTGAATAAGTTCATTTCGGTTTTTGTCTTTTTGTCAAAAATATTTTCATCATGAAACTACTGTAAAAATGTGGTTTGAACAATTTCATACAAAATGACGAAATAGCGACTGACCGATTCTATTTGTATGAATTAATTTTGATGTTCATTAAATATAATGACCATCCGATAAGCGGATTACCTGTAACAACAAATTATCATAATATGACACCTGCTGTACTGGTTGATTAGCTTGGGGTAGTGAACTTGTCATAAACTTGTCACCAGGGATAAATTTTATACAATTTATTTTTTTTACTTTTACAGATTTAAGTGACGAAATTGATAGAAATACTTTCCTCACTTTCGAATATCATTTCTTAAATGGCGAAAATGATGAGCGCTAGTAAAATCACTACTGAGCAACACGAAAACCTTCAAAAAATGGGGGTGATCTCAGGTGCTCTGGGAGGGTACTACCTTAGGCAGATCCTGCTCCGCATATGGCACCTGTCATGTTGCTCATTTAAGTACAAACCCGGTGAGTAGTCCAATTCAAAAATGAAGTTTTTTATATACCAAAAAAGATATGATAGTAATTCAAAAAGTGAAGCAGATTGTTGTTTTTATCTATATATATTATATATATATAAGTCTCTGTTTTTATCATAATAATAATAATGATCCCTCTGATATTTGTTTATTGTTAATTATCATTTCTTTGATATATCTAACGTATAATTATGCTTTTGTCAAGTAATTGTTGAGATTATATCAAACAAGATATTTGGTATGATTGGCGATGAAACAACTTAATACAAGTTCAATCACAACAGACTGCACAATATCAAACGTAAATACATGTATTTCAAAAACATCAGATGTATAAATATTAGATGCAGTCATTGGTGTGTCCATTTCTCTCATACTCACGTTTGTTATGGACAAATTGTTTAGGCACTGGCTACCGTTACATGGAAATGTAACAATAATAAAATAATTATTGTTACATTGGAGACTAATTGCCGGAATACAGGGTTGAGTAAGGAACTGATTAATAACAAATGTAACAATAATATTTGTGTCTACGGTTACATTGTGTTATTGTTATATTTTAAGACTGCAATCTACGCTAGTTTTATTTAACTTAAACCTTCTATAGTTTTGTTGCTTTGTTCTTCAATATGTACAAGATAATAGTAATAATGATAATAATAATAATATTATTCAACAAATAGTGTTGAAATAGTTTGAAATATTAATTGTTTTGATGTTCTTAAAGATACTACTACAGTTTAGTAGTGCCAAAAATATAGTTCAATGGTTTGTTCTTAAGAACTTGGGCTGAAAAAATTGTTCACTTCTATGTATTTAACTGCACACCTACCCTTAATTTATTACTGTCTATATACTATGAACAATGGATGAAGTGATTCCCATTACCAAATTTGTTTTAGGTGAAAAAAACTTGGGATGCGTTTGAATTGAAACTAAATCATATCAACACTCAAATTTTAGTTACAAAAACGCAGTAAATTGATACATCAAAAGCAAAGTTTGCTAACAGTGAACTAAAATACTGTGAACTGTAAATATCAAATTTTAATACATATTACTTGTCCCATAGTAAATTGCAGTGCATTAATGTAACAATAACGCAATGTAACCATAGACATAAATATTATTGTTACATTCATAATTAATCGGTTCCTTACCCAACCCTGCATTCCGGCAATTAGTCTCCAATGTAACAATAATTTTTATATTATTGTTACATTTCCATGTAACGGTAGCCAGTGCCAATTGTTTATTCATGTTTGTATTTCCAATTCTCTGTTATAATAAAAATATATTAAAAGCACCAAAGTCAAAGGGAAACGTTGTTTATGTCTTAATCATGCATGACATATTCTTGTTTCACAGCAGATGGAAAACAAATGTATCATGTGTATTAAATGTGGTAAGAATTATTTTTATCAAGGATATATAACTAAATTATCCCCGGCTTAGTATATTTCTAGGATTTTGATTGGTTAACCCACGTCGTTACAAAACCCATAGCCCCTGGGTGTTGCTAACCCATATACCCGGACGTTGCTACCCATTACAACGGGGAACATCACGCGCGTTTTCCTTAGTTCCATGGTTGTTCCTTGTGAAATATCGAATTCTGTAGATTATTCATGATGTCTGTAATTAAATATTTAATCCACTAACGATTTTATCTTATTATATCAATTATTTGCACTCATTTTAGTAAATGCATCACTATGCAGCCACATTGTCAATGAATGATACTACTGACCTAGCTATGCAAATGACCCACGTTGACGTCACACCGTTTATGAAGTAACTCTCACAACATTGCGCGCCAAATTCGACCCATTTCAGTTTCTCTGTCTCTAGTTTAAAAACGTCTTATATTTGTCTACCTGTAGGGTTCTACCAAAGGTAGTACCCTACACCCGTTAAAAATATGTCAAATTCCCAAATTTCAGTAAAAGATATTTAAAAAATGAAAAAAACGTTGCTTTCATGTTAAACTTTGTGGTCGAATTTCTCTAAAAATGGCCAGATTTAGACTAAGACCGGGGATAAATTCGTTATCTACGTTCATATCCGTAGATATGGATATTTTAACACCCTTCAGTACCCTGTACACCCTTCGGCTGCGCCTCAGGGTGTACTTGATACTTCAGGGTGTTAAAATATCCATATCTACGGATATGAACGTAGATAACTTATATTATATACGTCCTTGTTTTTACGAACTTCATCCCTTTACAAGTTACACCAGTCTTATATCAAAGCCCCACTAGGAACTACCACTCTGATGTAAGGGTATAATTGAGCCAAACACGGAATGTCCTTGTGGTCAATATTTTTTTAAAGGAATACTACTCATCAATAATAATAGTTCGACATACAAATCAAACAGATAAACATTAATAGTCATTATAAAAAAACGACCTACTACACAGTCAATATTGATAATTACCGGTGGAAGGCGTAAAATAAACTGCTGTTCTAAGTCATGCAGTGGTTCACCTCCTCCTTCTTTTTTCTTTGTCTTTGAGCTCATCTTTAGCAATGTTTATTGGTTTTTTTTTCTCGCTTTCACATTCACGAAAGACGGAAATCACATCATGCAAGTAAAGCACAAACCAATTTCCGAATCTCACCCAATATACGGAACGCCTAATCCGCTCTGTAAATAGAGTCCAAAAATCTTTCTTTTACTTTCCATATACATATAATACCATTTCATAAGTGTAACTAATTAAAAACACCAATGAAATTATGGGACAAAATACAAATAATCATACGTTCGGGATTTAAAAAAAGGGGGAGAGCTGAGATTTAAAACTGCATGAGATACGGTCCTAACTGATACTCATATACTGAAAGTGTCACAAACATGCTAATCAGAGGCGGATTTAGGGGGCAAGGGGCCCGCCCCCCCCCCCCTTTTTGTGGGAAAAATTTGGTTGATTATATAGGGAATCACTGAAGCATGACTGGAGCGGGCCCCCTCAGTCTTAGGCAGTTAGCCTGGGTCCCCTCTTATGAAAATTTCTGGATCCGCCACTGCTAATCACACTGGACATCATTACAAGAAAGAATACTTAAAAGTAGATTAAACATGTTCCATAGAATCACAGACAACAAAATTGCTTTATCATATATTGACATCCTAATAGAAAGCATCTAGCAAACGCCAGGTCTAATCACAAACATTCATACCGACATATTCGATGCAACAAAGACAGTTACAAATTTTCTTTCTTCTACCAAACTATAAAAGATTGGAACAAAAATACCAGAACCAATAGCCTGCAGCACCATAACTGAGAGTTTCAAGGAGAAACTCACCCGAGAGAAATGTTCCACTGAGATACTTACCCATACCACTGAGACATATTCTGTTTGGTATTAAATTAATATTAAGATCCATTTCGTTAGATCTGGTGATCAATTTATTTGGCAATCGCCAATGGCAGTCAGCAGGGTTTAAGAACAACAGTTGTTCGACCTGTTAGTCAAATGCGTTTTGTTAAAATAGACTTTTTCACTTTTTTTGGTCTTTTGGAAATTGTTGTTTGTGCTGTATTTAGACCCCTCTACCAAGAAATTTGTTTTACATGCACACGTATAAAAATTGCGGTTTTTATCCAACGCAATCATAGGTTTGAACGTTGTTTTCAATTTAGACTTTTATATATTTTTTCGTTTGGGCTTGTATTATATTTTCCTTCGGGTTTATATGATCCGTTCATCCTATTTCGACTCTTTAAAATTCAAGAGTCTATCCTAAATTGAGGTAAATTATATGGCCTTCCAAATACCGTTTCGATCCCTAACATCACTGAAGAGACATTAATTGTCGAAATCCGGATATGGTGTACAAATTTTTGCACCTCATTGTTGTGGTATACCATCTTTTCCACAAGTTTATTGTTTTCTGTTTGGTATTATATTAATATTAAGATCCATTTCGTTAGATCTGGTGATCAATTTATTTGGCAATCGCCAATGGCAGTCAGCAGGGTTTAAGAACATCAGTTGTTCGACCTGTTAGTCAAATGCGTTTTGTTAGAATAGACTTTTTCACTTTTTTTGGTCTTTTGGAAATTGTTGTTTGTGCTGTATTTAGACCCCTCTACCAAGAAATTTGTTTTACATGCACACGTATAAAAATTGCGGTTTATATCCAACGCAATCATAGATTTAAACGTTGTTTTCAATTTAGATTTTTATATATAATATATATATATATATGTCTCTGCCCATACCTACACGCATGATCCATGATTTGTTTTCATCTTATACAAATTAAAAACAAAAATTGAATATTGTACTTGCATACAAACGCAAATATAAAAAATGTAAAAATTGATATCAGAATAAGAAAAATAAATGTGTAATTATTAACCATAGTGTGAAACTAGGCATGCGCCAGAAAGTAATCATCAACCAGTTGGTGCTTTTCTTTAGAGGTTCGAAAGAACCGCTGTATCGCGAATCTGGATATATGTGCATCTTCAATAGTTGACATGTACACTCTCCAACATAGCACTCTGGTCAATCATTTTTGCTGTTTACATTTAACACATTCTACCTATCTATTCAAGTTTCGAAATAATTGGAAAAAAAATTAAAATCATTAAAAAAATGTTATTTAAGGTCAATAACTCATACATGTAGTAATGTGTTCGGTCATTTTAGCACTTTTATGATCTTTTATATGTTTTGTATTGTCGATAATGTTTTTGCTATTAACAGCTTCTGTCTAATTTAGTTTTCGAGACATAATAGTCAAATATCATTCAAATGGGCACTCAGTCATCACAAAAACAACGAACACATTAGTATATTAATATAATAGTATATTAGCATGATCGAGATACATATTATCAGTGACCGCTGTGGATAGTAAACTAGGAATTGGTATCAAATAGTAAATACACGTCAGTTCTAGTATTTTGTGTTACTATATTACAGAAAAACGCGAAAAAAATGAAGATAAAAAAAAAATAACGGGTTTTAGAAAAAAGGGGGAGGGCTAAAAAAATGTCTTCGATAATAGATGTTTGTTTTAATTCCCTCCTTTCAATAACTACTAATGTCCACTAGTCAAACGGAGTAATCAGCATTGTGGCATTATTAACTCATTGTGACTTCGTGTAATGGTTAATTTCAAAGTTTCATATTTGACCCGTATACCCTGTCAAACATGAGAAACCCCGTTGATAGTATGACGCAAAAATGTGATCACCTGATCTGTGAGCTATTTTTAAACCATCAATTCATACCTACGTCTGGGTTGAGTAAACACACAGGTAGATTCCAGGTACATTGTTTACATGAATGGACAATCCCCATATCTACTGATCAACTAAGCGTTGTTTGGACATGAGGTCACCGGTGTGGATACCGTATTTAGAACTTTAATTTTAAGAAGTACTATATTTTGAATTGACCTCGAATTCAGTTGAAAAAAAACGTTTATTTACGTCTCCAGTGAGGTAAGTAACTTTATTTTATATGTAACCAGAAATATATAATTGTAGTATATGTCTCTGATGTAACATTCCACAGTTTTTTTGTTTGTTTTTTTTTAAACTCAACATTTATTTAATTTCAACCGTGGACGTTTATCTCTGATTTCACGTATGTATTTGAATTACAGTTATTTAAGTATACGAATTATATAATTTATAGTTATTCGTTATAAAATATTCTTATTTGTTTAAATATTTTTCAAAATATTTGCCCTGCATTGTTTACTATGCATTGTCTTTATACTTGACACACCTATATTCTGGGGACCTAATATGAGGTGTCCTTCATTTCTTTATTCTGAAATTTTCTAGAGCGTATTTCTCTTTCCTTTATACTTTTTTATCATTATTCCCTATTCATTATATTTTGCCTATTTTTCTCTATTCCTTATTTTTTGGTCCATTTTTCTGTAGATTTGGCCCATAATTCTGTATTTATTAAACCCCGTCCAGACCCTCTAAATTGGAAATATGACTGGTCAATAAAATTTTGAATTTAAATAAATTTAGTAATGAATAGCGAACTCATGAATTTACATTTTTTTGAATTGAAAAGATTTTCGAGTCTTCAAATTTCTTTAATGTGACGAATAAACATACATGAGCGAGTCAAGAACCCTTGATAATTTTAGGTTGTTGACCTTTAATCTAAAATAGTAATACAAAAAAAAAGAAGAAACATTTAAAAACCAGTACCATCATCTTACTAAACGTAAATCAATTTATAGAAAAGTTGGGGTTTTTTTTATAGAGAGAGAGATACAAAGTCCTGAATAAGTCTTATTTGTATCGACTTGTCAATTTATGAGGTGGCACATTTCAAGTGATAATTGTGTTAAGCCATTCTTCGGAAATCGATAATCTCCCATTTTTATATCTTTTTTTTATATAATTAATCAATTACTCTACCTGGCTATATTGATTAACCATTGTTAACGATGAGATGCCGCCTGTGTTATATGATAAAGCTGGATATAGACCTGTTTGACAAACAAGAACAGCTCGTCTTATGTAATGTAAAAAGCAGATACAAAGAATTGTCACCAACTTTGTAATCAATAAATGATAATAATACTAAGTATATGATAATAGAAATAATACTCTTAATAATAATACAAAATAATAATACGTTTAGTAATAATAAAAATAAAAATACGATTAAAAATAATAATAATAATAATAATAATAATAATAAAACAAAACAATAATTATACTTTTGATAATAAATTAAACAACAAAATAAAATGAATCATTATAATATAATAATAATAGTAGTAAAACAGTTATTTTCAGCCACCTTATACCGTTCCCCTGTGACGCGTACTCCATCTTATTCATTATCATGAGAGATGTATTACAATACCATAGTGTCTATACTTTTATCATTTTAATCCTATTTTCAGAGAATCGATTAGAATATAATCTGACATTGAATCATTTAAATCAATTAAAATGCAATTTTCCAATCCATCTGTCACGATCATATCACAAACATACATGAAAAGTTATGCATGGAAATGATGAAATATTTTGCCAATTGTTATTTCGGTAAAGCCAATACTGATCAAAGGAAAATCCGCTCATAAATTAATTTAAGTGTTAAACGGTCATTTAAATCTTAACACCATCTGATAAGTTTGAAAAATATGGTACTCTGTCATATTTAGTATTTCAGTTATTTTTTTCCGACTTATCCACTGCGATATATTCAGTTCTGTTCAGACAATTCACTTGCAGTCAATTCAGTTCTGTTCAATAGCTTTTTCAGACAATCCAGTATGATGTTTATGTGTACAGCTAAAGCAACGAATGAACAGTCTGACTGCAAGCGAATTATCTGAACAGAACTGAATTAACCACAATTAATAAGTCTGAATATTGATTCAAAGACTGAACATGACTTAATTATTTATTGTTCAGTCTTTTCAGAGCTGTTCAGATCAAAAGACTGTTTCATATATAAATTGGTTTACTTATAACGTAGGAGCCGGGGGAGGGGAGCATGGGGGCAGTTATTTCTCCCATTTTTTGGAGAGAGAAAAATATGAAAAAGAGTAACAGATAACAATGATTAACTACGTATTATAGACTTAGAGTTTTTTTTCTGTTTGTCACATTCAGAAGTCCCCCCGATTTTTATAAGTCTATTCTCACGCCACTGCGGGTATATACAGACAATAATTATTGATGAAAATTAATTTGTAACAGATGCTCCAATTTTTAACTTGATTGTTCGTCTTGGAAATGCATGAAATATTTGCTACTCAGTCTGGGTGACAACCAAGTAAAATGTATTTCAAACTAATCTTGGTGAAGGACAATGGTATCTCGTTATAAGTAAATAAACAAATAAGTAAATAGATAAATAAACAGATAAGTAAACAAATAAATAAATTATAATACATTGTTTATGAAAAATACTCAACGTCTATCAGGAAAAAATAGCGTTCAATGATATCCGCTTTATTTCTTGCAACTTTTGCTTTAAATATCTTCTATCAAAATTTTGACATTTATCATAAACATTAAAGACCTGTTTATTTGGGGCTTATATCTTTTAAATCTTTAAATGTTTTATTATTTTTATATATGGAACAAAATGCATGTCAATCTATACATATTCTTTATTCTACTTTTTGACTTTTATTTTCTGTTTATATGGTTAGGTTACTGTTTGTTTTATTCATTCTTTTAAATGACCTTTTTATGTCAAACATTACTCACCTTAAACGACCACCTAATTAAAAGTCTGAATTAATAAAGTGCAAGAAGTTTAAAAGAGAGGCTAAGGATACCGAAGGGACTTTCAAACTCACAAGTCGAAAATAAACTGACAACGCCATGGCTAAAAAGAAAAAGACAAACAAACAACAGTACACAAAACACAACATAGAAAACCAAAGACTGAGCAACACGAACCCCGCCAAAAACTGGGGATGATCTCAGGTGCTCCGGAAGGGTAAGAAGATCCTGCTCCACATGTGGCACCCGTCGTGTTGCTCATGTTAGTACAAACCTGGTGATAAGTCTAATTCGGTAGGTCACATTCAGGGAATAGGGGACGGGATTGTAGTTACGACAATTGGAAACCATAATATAAGTTGCTTATTTGTATTGGAGTCGTACATTTGTGGAACTATTGTCGGAATGCGAGATTTTAAAATTTCACTACAAAGCGTTCGCGACCTTAAAAAATAGTGTTACCATGGTAAAAACAAAGACATGTACTATATGTCTTTGGTAAAACAAATTGATGGAATTAATTAAGGAAATAAAAGAATGTATGCAATATATAATCTGCTATGATTATATATTACCTTATAACAGTTTTGTGGGAATGCTTATATCATGTGCGTAATTTCCCAGATTATATAGTAACCTGCATGGCTTAAATTTTCTGAATCAAGTCAATCTGTGTATGTCACTCGGAATCAGGTACAAATGTTATAAATACATATGTAATATATACTTAAATTAGTTTGTCACTCGGATTATTGCATAAATGTTATTTATATGTATGTACTTTACTCAACCCTTATTTTATCATTCCACACTTAGCAGTTGCTAGATCACCAGCTCGTTGCTTAATAAACTGTTAGAGGATAAGAATGGCCTATATCGTCAAAAAATGAAAACAACACGTTATAAATTTCATATGTCCGAAGCGCTTTCCTGAATTTACCTTCATCAGGAACGCTCAAAGCCGAATATCTGAAAGCCAAGGATGAATAAAACCGAAACGGTTGAAGTCATTTATAACTAAAAAGGACCCAAAAAATAGCCAAATCCATCTAAGGCTAACTTTGCCTAAGGGAGTTGAAACCTTAGTTTCTTTATGATTTGAAAATTTATAAACGGACAATTTTAGAAAGGTTTGTTATAAATCGTGTCAGTACCGAACCGAAGTACTGACTACTGAGCTGATGATACCCTCGGGGGTCAATCACGCATTCTTTGCTACCGTTAGTGTCAAATGGGACTAAAAAACTTTTACCGTCATTGTCGCTTCGTGCTGTGCCTTCAAGCGGAGTAAAATGTATTGGGAATAACATGGGGTCTAGGGTACGAGCTCCATCCTTACTTTTTATCATTGGGCTGCAGGATTCATATTATGCATGGGTTCCGGGCTGCTTTGAGTATTGTTTTTTTGGGTTCTTGGCTCTACTGATAGAACTGCTTATTCAAAAATTAAACAAATACAAATTTGCTTATACTTCGCTACGATGGTTTACATCATATTTGGCTGACAGATATCAGATAGTATCTATTTCAAATACATTTTCAGACTTACAAAAACAAAAAACGGGTGTACCTCAAGGATCCGTTTTAGGACCTGTGTTGTTTTTAATTTTTATAAATGATCTTCCTTTGTCTAATCCTAATCATAACACCGATTTATTTGCTGATGATAGCACCATATCAGTCATTGGACAAAACAAAAGTTGTATCAGTCATAAACTTAATACGGTTTTACAAGATATTTTTAGCTGGTGTGATGACAATAAAATGGCTGTAAATGTATCTAAAACGAAGGCTATATGTATCGGCTCTAAACAGAAGCTTTCAGCTACTTCAAATGAAAACATTAATATTGCTATGAATGGACAACAAATTAAAGAAAGTACATGTGAAAAGGTTCTAGGTATTTTTGTTGATGCATCTCTATCTTGGTGTTCTCATATTGATTATATCATAAAAAGGGTTAACTCTTCTTTAGCTTTACTAAAAAGGATAAAGAAATATTTAAATCACAAAGCTAGACAAATGTTCTATAACGCTTAAGTTTTACCTCACTTAGATTATTGTTGTTCAATATGGGGAAACTGTAATAACTTTCTATTAGATAGTTTACTAAAACTGCAAAAGAGGGCAGCAAGAATAATTTTAGACGAACATGATTACACCAAACCTTCAAGCGAATTATTTCACGAATGTAACATTGTGCCGATTACACAAAGAATACATTATCATAAATCATTACTAATGTATAAGGCAAACATGGCTTAGCTCCAGAATATATGTCCAGTCTTATTGTATCAGCTTTCTGCAAACCAAAAATACAATACGAGATTTTCGTCCTCAGATAATTTTATAATTCCAAAACCAAATACAGAGTTGTATAAGTCTAGTTTCTCGTACAATGGACCAAAAGTATGGAATGCTCTTCCTGATTCAATTAAAAAATCAAACACAGTATTAGAATTTAAACATAACTACAAATCTATGTACTTTTAACATTACCATGATATTTGTACTGTAATGCCATATATAATAATTGTTTATTGTATTTAAATTGTATTACATCTTTATTTATCATTATTATTGAATATGTATTGTTTATTTTTAATGTAATTATTATTGTATTAAGAGAGCCTTATTGAAAATTGGTGTAATCCAAATGAGTTACTCTCTCTAAATAAAGATATTATTATTATTATTATTATTATAGGGCACTGGACTCCTTTGATAGGGCCCTAGGCTCCATGCAATGATATAGCTCCAAGCTCTGTTGGTAGGGATCCGGGCTCAATATACGTGGTCTCCGGGCTCAATATACGTGGTCTCCTGTCTCTTAAGGAACTAGTGGTATAGTCCGCATTATCATCACAACGTTAGCTTAAACAATTTCTTAACTTTAATCAGTCAATCGGACATTGTTCCCGGTGAAGATGTTAATGAAGCAAACATATTTCCATATATCAAAGATTGATTTTTAGGAATATACCTCGATTTTCAGTAAGGGCCTCGGTGACCGAGGGTTTTAAGTAGTTCCAGGGGCGTATCCAGCCATTTTTAAACGGGGGGGGGGGGGGGTCCCAACCCAGGATAAAGGGGGATTCCAACCATATGTCCCCATTTAACAGCGATCAACGTAAAGAAATGGGGGTTTCCAACCCCCGGAACACCCGCCCCCCCCCCCCCCCCCCCCCCCTGGATCCGCCACTGTCGTGATATAGCCAAGAGTTGTATCGTTTAACACCTACAATCAATCAATCAATTGATGTTTTGTAATCAAAGAAAAAAAATATTCCATATTCATTACCTACAAGTAAACAAATGAGTTTGAAGCACCGTTAAGAACACCACATACAATTACGTGACAGAAAAATGTACTCGATAACATCTATGTCAAGCCAAAAACCAAATGAAATATGAATCATCTCTACATTCAAAACAAACAATCTAAAATTGGCAACAAGAACTCTATTCAGTACCATGACGGAGCTCTGATTTAATATTAGAATAAAGGTTGGACAAATCTAAATACGCTGTGTTGAAATTATAGGTGAATAAATAGATACGTACTTATTAGGCTTAAATTCATTTCGATATATATTTGATCAAAACTTAAATGGAATCAAAATGTGTTAATAACACGTTGAGAAATCGTGGGAGTTAAAGTCAGTAAACATTTACCGAAGATAAACTTTCAAATATATTAACACAGTTTTAGATTGGAATAAAAACTGTCTTCGAAACTCAAACAAACAACGTATAATTTTTTTTAATTGAACATCGGGTTCATTTTTTTGTCATGTGTACAATGAGGGAACTTGAATGCAAAAAAATCCAACCGTTGGTTAATTCTCCAAACTGCGACCTTGGTTGGGGGATAAGATACTAAAATGAAATCTGAAGTGGTAGACAGCATTTTCCTAATTGCTCCTTCTAAACATTTTTGTAATAATATTAAAAAAAAAATGTATATTTGCATATTTAGATGTGTTGAATGATTTAAGTGCGGACGACACCATCACAGTGTAGACTGATATCTGGAGCCATATATAGATACACTATTTCATATAAAAAGATTAAAGTGCATTTTGCGATAAATATTCTATTTTTGACAATACATTGAGTATCAACAAAGATATTTGTTTACGATATTAATGATATTCATGATAAAAATTGATAAATTAGAGTTAAAAGTATCTTTAAAATGACTAGACAAGTAGACACATAACAAAGGTTCACCGACATTGAATTGTTTGGTTGATGTCTCGGTGGTGTTTACTACACAAGAATCTGGATTTTTTTTTTTAGGGGGGAGGGTCATTTTGATTTGGTATTCTTTAATTTATTAGATCATTCATTTTTATTCTTATTTTTTTCTTCATTGTTCTCAATTTTTTATATTTTAGCAACCCGAAATTCTCTTTTCTTTATTTTTTGTCTATTATTCTATATACTTTTTATATTTATGCAACCCGTTTTTCTCCATTTTTTCTTCTCTTTTCTTTATATTTTACATTGGAATGAAGATAGATGTTTATTTTTGTGTGTTTGGATGCTGTCTCATAGCCCTTACAAAATCTGCTGAAATTTAAAAGAAAATCTGAATAAATGATGAAATGAATTGTTGAAAATGTGTTTTAATAAATTGTGAAAAAATCCGTCTGCTGTCAGAAAATTTCTTTTGTAAACTGAAATCAACATTAAAATAAGGATGACTCCTACGTTTATCTTACCGATCGGTAAGAAACGTGAACTCGAATAAATAGGCACACAGTGTTCTCATTTTTCTCTGCATTATTTTATCTATGAAATCTGAGATATTAGACGTGAAAGTCCTCCATTGTACGTTTTAAATATATGTGCTATCAACTTTCAGTTTCAGTGGCTTTAAAGATAAACCTAGTACCAAAAACAGTAATCAGATTTAATGTTGATTGTTTATAGGAAAGGCAAGCAGCGGTTCTTTTCGAGTCTCGCTCATTATAATGCAATAGTTTTACAAAAGAATGCCTTAATTACTATAATAGTTTGTGGTTTAAAACTAATTACTCTATACTGAGAAAATGATACTGATAACAAGAATCAATATCATGTTATACCTATACACATATCAGGATACTTATAACAAATATACAATTTCGTAAAAATATCAAATTCTATCTGAATCGGATAAACTCTCCTTTTGTTTCAATATTTGATCTTTTATTAGGACAAATTGACACTTTTAAACGGGATAAAACTAGGCTTATATGTGTCATGTCGAAATGTACGTTTATATCATATTCCCCATTACAATTACGTATAACAAATTTATGTTTTTTGCTCATTGAACATATTCAGACCTTTAAACACGTCACTTGAAGAAATATCTATATGTTCTCTTATATTTCATTAAAAGTCTAAAATCAATATTAAACAACTGCTGTGTAAATTAAACTTCATAAAAAGTAAAATAACAAAAATACCGAACTCCAAGGAAAATTCAAAAAGGAAAGTCCGTTATCAAATGACAAAATTAAAAGCTCAAACACATCAAACGAATGGAAAACAACTGTCATATTCCTGACTTGGTCCGGGCATTTCCCTATGTAGAAAATGGTGGATTAAACTTGGTTTTATAGCTAGTATATATTTAACTTTCGTTTAAATTCTCCAAGGAACTGATGATTTTGAACTCCTATTTATTGTTATATTTCGATTACTTACAGATCTAAACAAGAGAAAACACGGATAAACCAAATGGTGAACTTCACATCTTTACCAGAGGTAATATCTTCATGTATAACAAAGGGAGATAATACTATAGGGGGATCAAAAATCATAAGTTGAAAAAAACAATGACTGAATGCTTTATTGCAAAGCAGTAGTTACATGCTATAGCAACACAAACATGTTTACATTGTGACACATAATAAACAGCAGAGAACAATATACTAAGATAGTACAAAAGACAAACAATCAGCTAATCAAATGTGATCTAATCTGACAAGCAGATTTCAAATATTACACAATTTTCCAATTAAGGATCTAGATTTTGTTGAATACAAATACCTTAATTTTGTCATATTTGGCCACGAACAATAGTATTTTGGTAAAAACTGATAATACCATGACCAGATAGAAAAAAAAGGAAGGACAAACAAGTCCCCAGAATACTTGTCAGAAAACGAAAGATTGGGCAACACGAAATACAAGCCACTAAATATGAATAGTGAAAGAATGAAATTTCAACACATGAATTTTGTGTTAACAAAAAAATGTCAGAATGACGTGTGAAAGGTAAAAACATAGCCACGATGCTAAAACATGAGCGGGGGTAATATACATAAATACCTGTCACAACGTTTCACATGAACAACTTTTATAAGTTGATGATTCTTAAGTATAAAATAAAAGTAAACGGAAGGACACATTCAAGGTTAAACTGAAATTAGCTGTGCACACTGGGCTTACAGGGATAAGGATGTACCTTGAACACACACAATTGTGTGGAATGGTTAAAAGCTCTTCAAAATAGTGTTAGATTTTGGATATTCAAACATTATGACCTCGAGCATCACTGAAGAGACATTTAAAAATGTCCATCTGGTGCAGTAAAATTGGAACCATTTCTGTTATCATAATAGAATTGAGAATGGAAACGGGGAATGTGTCAAAGAGACAACAACCCGTCCAAAGAGCAGACAACAGCCCAAGGCCACCAATGGGTCTTCAACACAGCGAGAAAATCCCGCACCCGGAGGAGTGCCTTAGCTGGCCCCTAAACAAAAATGTATACTAGTTCAGAGAAAATGGACGTCACACTAAACTTCGAAACATATAAATGAACCAAAATTAAAAAAACATATGAGACTAACAAAGGCCAGAGGTTCCTGTCTTGGGACAGACGCAAAAATGCGGCGGGGTTAAACATGTTTTGGGAGATCTCAACCCTCTCCCTATACCTCTAGCCAATGTAGAATAAAAAACACACAGCAATACGCTCAGTAAAACTAAGTTTAAAAGATGTCCGAGCCCGATGTTAGAATAGGTAACCGAAGAAACTAAGCAAAATGACAATAAGTCTATTTTTAGCTCACCTGGCCGAAGGGCCAAGTGAGCTTTTCTCATCACTTGGCGTCCGTCGTCCGTCGTCCGTCGTCGTCGTCGTTAGCTTTTTACAAAAATCTTCTCCTCTGAAACCACTCGGCCAAATTTAACCAAACTTGGCCACAATCGTCATTAGGGTATCTAGTTTAAAAAATGTGTCCGATGACCCCGCCAACCAACCAAGATGGCCGCCATGGCTAAAAATAGAACAAGGGTAAAATGTAGATTTTGGCTTATATCTCTGAAACCAAAGCATTTAGAGTAAATCTGACAAAAACTGATTATCAGGTCAAGATCTATCTGCCTTAAAATTTTCAGACAAATCTGACAACCTGTTGTTGGGTTGCTGCCCCTGAATTGGTAATTTTAAGGAAATTTTGCAGTTTTTGGTTATTATCTTGAATATTATTATAGATAGAGATAAACTGTAAACAGCAATAATGTTCAGCAAAGTAAGATCTACAAATAAGTTGTCATGACCAAAATTGTCAGTCGACCCCTTTACGAGTTATTGCCCTTAATAGTCAATTTTTAACAATTTTTTGTAAATTTTTGTAATCTTTTACAAAAATCTTCTTCTCTGAAACTACTGAGACAAATTTAACCATACTTGGCCATAATCAGTCATACTTGGCCATAATCATTATTAGGGTATCTAGTTTAAAAAATTTGTCCGATGATCCCGCCTATCAACCATCATGGCCGACTTGGTTAAAAATAGAACATAGGGGTAAAATGCAGTTTTTGGTTTATATCTCTGAAACTAAAGCATTTAGAGCAAATCTGACAGGTGGCAAAAATGTTCATCCGATTTAGATTTATCTGCCCTGAAATTTTTTTAGACGAATTCGACAACCCGTTGCTGGGTTGCTGCCCCTGAGTTAGTAATTTTACAAAAATTTTGCAGTTTTTTGTTATTATCTTAGATATCATTATAATATCTAATATCTAATACTATTAATTATGATTTTAACCTTATTTTACATGATTTCCAAAGCATCAGTAAATATAGGTGAGCGACACAGGCTCTTGAGAGCCTCTAGTTCTTTGCGTTATGCTTTTATAAGTTTGTATTTTTTTTGGCAGCTAGAAATGACCATCCAGCTTGCATATGTTGGCTTAAAACTTTTTATTTTAGCTTTATCTTGATTCTCTGCTATCTTAGAAAAATCTTTATTTAAGGGTCTGGATGTGGAATCCTTCTATTCTGTATTCTTTAATTTTATTAGCCATTTTTCTCTTTCCTTTACAAGTTTTGCCAAGTATTGTCTATTTTGTAAATTTAACACCCCATTATTCTCTACTCTTTATTTTTTTTTCCTACTTTTCTCTATTCTTCATGTTTTGGGTCAAGTTTTCTGTAGAATTAGACAATTATTCTCTATTCGGTAAACCCAATCTAGACTAGCAAAATGACCTTGCAGATAACTGAACTGTGAAAGGATTAATATTATTTTTACATTTCATAAAAGATACGAATTCGACACATGACAATGAATATGTATTTACTTCTATGGCGTCAGGTAACTTTTTTGTTTTCAATGAGGTAAATTCAGTTCTATTATTTTTTTTCTCAATGCTGTTTAGTATAAGGATTAAGCCTTTTTAGAAATCTAATGGAATTTGGAGAATGTATCATATAATAATATTTAAACCCCATCGTTCATCTAAATCAGACGTGAGACACAATTTTTTTTCCCACCAGAATGTTAGTACTGTGATCCAATGTTCCAATAGCGGACCAATTGTTTAACACATTTAGGTTGAACAAGTTGTATATTAATGCATAAAGCCATATATGTAATTGTCAAACAAGTACAGCTGAAGCCCGCCGCCGGGTGCGGGATTTTCTCGCTGTGTTGAAGACCCATTGGTGGCCTTGTGCTGTTTTCTGCTCTTTGGTCAGGTTGTTGTCTCTTTGACACATTCCCCATTTCCATTCTCAATTTTACAATAATTATTTATTTAATAAGTTATTTATTCACATCGATGGTTGGCAAGACTTCCTTCCGAAGCCCCTTTCATGTTTGTCTGTGCTTATCTCGTCAACAGAGGGGATTTAAAAGGTTGTTATTTACGTAATGTCCAGTAACACATATTTTAGGACTATATACATTTATAGAATGACTTTTTGTACTTTTATTTTCAATACTGAGCATCTAGATAAGTAAAATAGTTAAAGGCACTTTAATAAGATATTAAAAAAGTAATACATATTTTTGTAATACGAAATTAAATTTATGTGATATATATACTATTATTTTTATATTATCTGATCGATACATTACTTATTACTGGGTTTATGGTATTTTAGCACGTAGCTACGTAAAATATTTAAACAACATATATCAATGAGGGCATTCCGGTGTATTGCTGCGGCGCCTAGATTTCCATTACGTAACTTTCGTGTTGGGATTGTAACCGATCTATAAACATGATAAATACGCGGACATTATCGAGTGCAAAATAACATTCCTTATCGCTTGTTATAAATTCATTTTTTTCAATGGATACTCCTAAAAACATTTTTTTTAGAACATAAATTAATAATATGAAAATGTTTTGTCGTTAGACATATATATATATAAGTAAAAAATCTTTAATATCTATGCACACGTACAGAAAATGTGTGTTAACGCATGCGGAAGAATATCTCAAGAACGTCTGCAATCTCCCATGCAGAGTTATCGGTCCTCGCTCTCTCTCAAGGACCGATAACTCTGCATTGGAGATTGAAAGTTTGGCGGGAAAATATGAATGCCTACTGAAATCCAATCTATTAGAAAAATCGAATTATTACAGAAGAGTGTCCACCATGCACTTGCACTGCACTATTATTAATATAGTAGAATAGAATAATATACAAATGGATGAAAATTATATATACATGTAACTGTAATATACAAATATTAATATACTATATAACAACAAACCAGAGTATACTGATTTGTATCACTTCAATATCATATTTATTACGGTGAGGTTGAATTCCCTGTCATTTATTTATCATCCACGCACGAACTTGTCTAAGAAAAATAAATTATATCTGTACATAAACCTCACTTTCAGGTATAGAGATGTAATTTTTTTTTCTGAGACAAGTGCTTGTGACCATCCACAAGAACTTGCAGTCATCCGATGTTCAGTAATTCAGTACTTTGATTATTTTATGTAACGAAATTACTAGTTTTAATCAAAATAGACTTGAAAAATTTGATATGCCCCTTGGTTGTAAAAATCAATGACCGTCACATTTTCTGACTTAACGTTGAATTGTTTATTTAATAAACAAGTTTTGAAATATTAAACTTGTTTAGTTAAAAGATCAAGTATAATACAATCAGAATATGATAGGTTCTTACTAGCCAGCAGTGGTCAAGAAGTTGTACTCGAGACAAAATCTGCAGGTTGATAATAATTTGATTTAAAACAATAATGCAAATCAGTGACTAATACTGAAAATCAGTTACTTATACTGAAAATCAGTTACTTATACTGAAAATCGGTTACTTATATACTGAAAATCAGTTACTAATACTGAAAATCAGTTACTAATACTAAAAATCAGTTACTAATACTGATTATCAGTGACAAATACTAAAAATCGGTTACTTATATACTGAAAATCAGTGACTCATACTAAAAATAAGTTATTTATACTGAAAATCAGTTACTTATGCTGAAAATCAGTTACTTATACTAAAAATCAGTTACTTATACTGAAAATCAGTTACTAATACTGAAAATCAGTTACTAATACTAAAAATCAGTTACCAATACTGATTATCAGTGACAAATACTAAAAATCGGTAACTTATATACTGAAAATCAGTGACTCATACAAATAATAAGTTATTTATACTGAAAATCAGTTACTTATGCTGAAAATCAGTTACTTATACTGAAAATCAGTTTTTGATACTGAAAATTAGTGACCCGAAATATTAAACTTGTTTAGTATAATACAATCAGAATATGGATATGTTCCTACAAGCCAGCAGTGGTCAAGAAGTTGTACTTTAGACAAAATCAGCAAGTTGATAATAATTTGATTTGAAACAATAATTCAAATCAGTAACTAATACTGAAAATCAGGTATTAATTCTGTAAATCAGGTAATAATACTGAAAATCTGTTACTTCCGGTAATACTGAAAATCGGTTATTAATTATATAATACTGAAAATTGGTTACTTATACTGAAAATCAGTTACTTATACTGAAAATCAGGTATAAATTCAGAAATTAGGTACTTATACTGAAACTCATTGACTTATTCTGAAAATCAGTTACTTATACTGAAAATCAGTTACTCATACTGAAAATCGGTATTAATACTGAAAATCGGGTATTAATACTGAAAATCAGTTACTAATACTAAAAATCAGTTAAAATTACTAAAAATCTGTTACTTATACTGAAAATCAGTGACAAATACTGTTGTCTCATTCAGTTTAGCAATCATACCACATCTTTTCATTTTTACACTGTAAAAATGAAAACAAAACGTTCTTGTATCCGAAGCGTTTGTCTGGGTTTATCTTCATCAGGAACGCCCAAAGCCAAATATTTGAAAGCGAAGGATGTAAATGTTCATATTCTTAGTTTTCCTTTCGTATTTCGTGTAAAGTCGCCTATTTGCAGTCATACAACCATACGGATACATTTTTACTTACCTGTGATCTTTTTGTACAGAAGATGCTGTTTATATTTACATATGCACGTGTGTACATCTGTATGTTTGTGCCACGACAAACATAAAGCAGTTTGTTTTAATAAGAAAATGTCTTATTCATATATTCCATCTTATCTTACAGATGTCTGGCCCTAACTCTACTCAATCACCACTTCCAAACGTAACAGAGCCAACAGAACATATCGTATCCGACGAAGATATCTATGGTTTCTGGATTGGCTTTAGTTTAGCCGTCATCTCAAACGCATTCATTGGCAGCAGTTTTATCTTTAAGAAACGTGGATTAATTCGAATCGCAAAAAAGAGAGGAACACGAGCCGGTAAGTTAAAACTAAGTTAAAACTAAGAAACGGACTAGAACTAACATTTTATCAATCTTTAAAACAAAACCAAAGATGTTTCCGAGAGACAAAATCTAATGTATTTATCCTATCAACAAAAGCAATTTTAACCGTGAAAATAGTCATCTCAATGACACGCTTATTGGCGATCTGTTTCATAAATTGCAACTATTTTAAAAAAAGTTTGTCTTCGTTTAATATTATATGCAGCTTACTGTTCCATTCATAAAAAAGTCGTTTGCAACACAGGCGCTTGGGGCATGGAAATTTTTGTTTTCTAGTATATATTTTCATATATATTATCTTAATAGTCTATAACATTTTACTTTATTTAATGTGTTTTGCTCTTCTCCATACAAAATTACAATGTTGCCCCCCCCCCCCCCCCTATGTGGGGAAATAAGAATAGAGTTGCCTGTATATATAAACTACTGTTGTTGTCATTTCGGATGGATACGAGCAAGAACACTTTGAACAAATGAAAATAAGCTAAATCCACTAAAAAACATAACTTAGACACAAAACAAGAGAAAGAAAATAAGGGGTCCATGCCCCAATCGCCTGTGGTTTGCTCTGAGGGTGGACTCCAATCTCGCAAAAGTTCCTGAATTATTTACTTGCTATATTATGTTTATTTTTTGATTTTATGCATTATGATATTTGTTTAATTTATATGCCGACAACCCCTCGGGGATAGAATGTGCATTTATGATAAATAAAAAAATAAATAAAATTGCAGATCAAGGTGGATATGGTTATCTGAAAGAATGGCTGTGGTGGCTCGGAATGTTCCTTAGTAAGTAACTATAGCAAAAAATACATATGTGTCTACTGCATGATAGGGATTGTAATGTGAACTATCGGGGCTACTTGTCAAAATGTTTGTTTAAAATACGTCAATGTAAAAAAAAAAATCGACTTTTTTGTATGATGCTTTGAAACTGGGAGAGTGCGAGGTTTATCGAGCCATTCAAATGTTTCGTGCCGAATACAAAAAGTTAACATTTTTCTGACATTGACCTAATATTGTTTTTATACTGCAGCTAAACAATTGCTGTAATTATATTTTTGAAAATGTCACAAAGAATAAAAAAATTTTGCCACTATTAAAAGAACCCAAGAAAAAGAGTAAGAAAAAGTTACGTGACATGAAATCTACATTGCACGAAATATCCCATTGTTATTGTATATCGCAAGATAAAGACAACAGGAAGTATTCTAGCTGCAGTTTAAAAGTTGAATACATGTATTATTTAAATGCAATCACTCCGTTTATGTAAATGGAATGAGGTTTAAATACTTTTTCACGAGACAACAACAAAACCAAACTGTGATATACATATTTAGATATATTCTCATGAATTTTACTTTGAGATAACATAAATAAGCTTGTTTTAAAAGAGAGACTAAATGGCGGGGTCTTTTTTTTATATTCTTTACCTAATACTGCATAACAGAAGTTAATTAAGATTCGTTTATTAGAGACAATTTGTAAACTAAACTGCACTAAGTCTTATTAAAAAGATATTTTAATTGCTAAATTATACCTATATGGGCCAAGCAATAACAAATAAAATACATACATGTACAAAAATACCACAAATGAACATTTAACCAAATAAAATTGTAAGATTTTTTTAATATTTACTACACTGTACTAGTATTGTTTTTCTGAACGATTTGTGCTTTGAATTATATAACTGCTAAATTAACTATGTATTATTTTAGTGATTTTCGGAGAAATACTCAATTTTGTTGCCTACGCATTTGCCCCAGCGACATTGGTTACACCTCTGGGTGCTCTGAGTGTTATTGTGGCGTAAGTACAACCTTACAATATGCATATGTCTAGTTAATAACACGGAAGGCCGCAATAATAATACATATAATATCGTTGAATATAAAAATAAGAAGATGTGGTATGATTGCCAATGAGACAACTCTTCACCAAAGACCGAACGACATAGAAGCTAGGTCACCGTACGGCTGTACAAATGTAAAACAATTTAAACGAGAAAACTAACGACCTGTTTTATGTACAAAACAATTTCTGTTTTCATAATATTGGGGATTTTGTTGAGTGAATCTGTTTTTATCGCTTAGTTTCAGCAATTCATTATTATCTATGTACAGGTTTTTTAAATTACACATAAGTTGAAAAATGAATGATAATATAATGAACTATCAAACCTTGGTTATTTTCATCTGTTTGTTAATCAACAATTCCCTCCCGTTTCAGAGCTGTTATGTCCTCAATGTTTCTGAAAGAAAGACTCAATATAATAGGTAAAGTGAGTTGTGGATTGTGTGTGATCGGATCAACTGTCATGGTGATGCATTCTCCCAAAGAAACCAAAGTTCACACAATGGATGAAATGTTAGAGAAAGTTCAAGAGCCAGGTAATATATTTATAATTTTATTAGTCAATGCAGAATCCGTGTTGCATTATGACTTAGAACCTTTCAATTTTTCACGTTTTGCTTGGTCCTGCCGTCATTTTCTAGGAAACTGAGAGACTGCAAAACATGAATGAGGGTCTGGATGTGGATACTTTTTTCATTTCTGTATTTTGATTTTTAAGCCATTTTTCTCTATTCTTTATTTGTTTTGCCCATTATTATTCTATTTCTTTTATATATATTTTTGCACATGTTGTTACAATTTTAGCCCTTTTTTCTATTCTTTATTTTTTGGTCAATTATTCTCTATTCTGTGAACCACAACAAGACCCTCGTGAATTACACGGACAAAAACGTTAGTCAAATTATACAAACATATTTTGCAAACTGCTCCTTTAGCAGACATTGAACTCATATATATATATATATATATCGCCAAGTTACAGGCTTTTTTTTATATATAAGCAGATCTTTTTTTAAGTCTATTTTTGTGATATAGGTCCTCACCTTTTTCAGGTATGTATACATCTGTTTGGGTTTTAACGTTCCTGATGAAAATAAATACAGAAAAGCTCTTCTGGCCCACGAAATGTATTAAGTGTAATTTTCATTTTGTTCAAGTTTTTATCTCGCCTGCGATGAAAGTCGCGGAAAGCGAGACATAGGGGTTGCTTTTCCGGCGACGACGACGAATGCGTCAACAATTGTTAAGTTTTCTGCTTAAGTTAGTTTGATAGGAACTACTTGTGATAGATCAATGATATTTTGTATGAAGTTGCATTTATATATCAGTACATATCAGTTTGACGACTATTTTGAGGCCCTGACCCCTAGGACATGGTCCAGTGACTTTGAATTAATAAGCAATTTTCAATGTTCATTTTTTCTGCTTAAGTCAGCTTGATAAGAACTACTTGTGATAGATCAATGATATTTTGTATAAAGTTGCATTACTATCAGTACACATCAGTTTGAAGACTATTTTGAGGCCCTGGCCCCTAGGACATGTTCCAGTGACTTTGAATCTATTTCCAATTTTCAATGTTAAGTTTTTCTGCTTAACGAAGTTATATTGATAGGAACTACTTACAATAAACAACGAAATTTTCTATAAAGTTACATTACTGTCTGTACATCTCAGTTTGTCGACCACTTTCAAGCCCTGCCCACTAGATCATAGTCCAGTGACTGAATTAATAAGCAATGTTGCTGTCCATCAGATTGTCTTTTTTCTGAATTATATGCCGATAGGCCAGACATATCTGTGTGTCAACAGTTTATTATTTATTCATTCATTTTAAAAATGCCTTCAATAAAATGAGATGAAATTAGAAAATCGTATATTTTTTATAATAAAAAAATATATGGAGATAGAAGATACCGAAGTGAAATAAGAACTCAAAGGTCAAAGACTGTGAAAACCATGGTAAAAAAAAAACAAAAAAATAACGTAGCGTCTAACAACAGTTTTCGAAACACTTCATAAAAACTAAAGACTTAGCAACAGGTGCTCCGGAAACGTTAGTTAATATGTTTAATTTGAAAAAGAATTCTTTGCTTATTTATTTTATTAATTATTCATTTATTCATTTTGTAGGTTTCATCGTATTTTGTCTGCTACTTTTGGTAATATCAATGGTTTTCATGATATATCTAGCACCTCGATATGGAAGTAAATCTGTGATGATTTACGTCACAATCTGCGCAACTCTCGGCGCTTTTACTGTGATGGGTTGTAAAGGAATGGGTGTAGCCGTTACACAGACAATAAAAGGGGACCAGCAATTCACGAACTGGTTTACTTATCTAATGCTTGCAATAGTGATCACGTGTATATTAGTACAGTTAAATTTCCTTAATCGTGCTTTAGATATATTTAACACTGCGGTAGTGACTCCAATTTATTACGTTCTTTTTACGTCATGTGTAGTATCTTTATCAGCCGTTTTGTTCAAAGACTTTTTCTACATGGATTGGAAGGATATATTATCTTTCTTCTTAGGTTTTATCACTGTAGTGGGTGGAATCTTTCTACTCAATGCCTTTAAATACATGAACATATCCCTGAAAAATCTACCCAAAGCACACAAAAAGGACACGGATAAGCAGGATGAAAACGCCAACGTGTCAGTCAATGGTGATATCATGAGTCACACAGACGACGAGGAGGATGCCGACACTTACCAAAGACTTGCAAATAGTCATAGTGTGGCCAGCATGGACCATATTGAATTTGAAATTGATACAAATCTGAAGAGACAAACAAGGATCCTAAGTGAATGAGAAAAATTAAGACTAGTCGAGCTGTCCTTGTAATGATACCAAAGAGATTAATGCGGTTCCTGAATGAGAAAAAGTATGAATAATCGAGGTGTCCTTTTAATGTTTCAATTCTAAAGAGATAAATGTTGATCTTAATTGAATGAAAAAAAGTATGACCAGTCGAGTTGTTCTTGTAAACCATGACATCGATGCCTTGTCAGGACTAGAAAAGGAATATGGTCTTGTTTGCTTTATAATCTCTAAATCAATCTTTCCGAAGGCTTATTTGAACGCTAGCCAACTTTTTTTCCGAAATAACAATCCAAGGGAAAAAAATCCGAATTGAGTTTGAATAAAATGATCTCATCAAAAGGCAAATTATCAGGGAAAATGCATTTTTATGAAAACATAAAACTTTGGTGTACCTCTGTTTTGCTGAAATAACAGAATGTGACACACTGGTGAAAAGAATATTGAATGAATTTTTATAGTCCCTCTTGTACAGTATGCTATAAGCATCAAAATATTAGATACAATAAGAGACTTTGTTATAAGACAATCATGTTGCAAGATTTGTTATATTTACAGAGACCGTACTTTTTATTTTTTATATTCTTTTATTTCTTTTTGTTGTTCTTGTAATTTTATGTTGTATTACATTGTTTTAATTCCATTATCCCAAATTCTGACCTTTTCCGGGTGTTTTGATACATGCTATTTGAATCGATCCAATAACTATGTCTTATGTTTTTATGTAAGAAAATCTGTTGTTAATGTTTAATTGATTACAAAACTGTTACAAAAATAAATTGGACATTAAAGAAAATGTTTCATTGTCTCAAGAACAATATTTCCATTTTAAAATTTAGTTTTTACCTACATGTTATATTAAAAAAGAACTGAAATGGCTTAGAGTATACTAAAAAGATAAAATCTGGGGCACAGTAGCCCAATTCATATAAATTGCCATTGCACCCTACATATGAGCAACATTATTCGAAACTGCGTCCTCACATTCGACCATTATTTTGGCAAAACATATTGGTTGAGTTTATGGTGTAATCCCTTCCGGGTCATCCAGACTAATGTCGTTGTAAGAAACTAACATTTTTCTTACTAACTAGCTTGATTTTATTTATTTTTTTAGATACATTTTTATAGTATTTTTACACGAGTCAGAATGTATATTGGATATGTTTCTACATACAATTCACCAAAACTTGCAAACATATGAATTTTTTCTTATTTTATTACAAACCATTCCGTTATCTTTTTGAATGCATTTATGTAAATTTAAGATTATATTAAACATATGAACGGGTTTTATTTTTAGTTTACATAGCAATATTACATCATACCTTTTTTACGCATTGATATATATTTATTTTTATTTGTTATGACTTTTAAGTTCACCTTTTATACAACAAGCATTCTACTTATTCTAACCACAAGAAAACCGTTTTTAACTAGTAAGACATAAGACACCAAACATTTATCTTTTGTGTGGGGATTACGTTTTTTCTTGTCTGGACAAATTTTTGTTTTCGGTTTTAATAAAAATAACAAACTTTTTTCATTTATCTACAGGAACAGAAATGTAAATGTTGTATTTAAATTTCCTCCCTAATTTTAATAGAAATAAGCTATTTTTTTCACTTCCCTTCACGAAATTTAGAATCAAACAAAATATTGAAAAAAAAAACAACAAAAAAACATCCCTCTCCCCAAATCCACCCACAAATAAACACAGTTAAGATAAATGGTCGGTGCCTTAGTCAGTTAAAACATGAAAAGACAAATTTACAGTTTTTAATGAAACCCAAGCACCATTACTTGAAAGATCATTTTAAAGGTATTTGAATGGTTGCTGGTATATTTATAAACTTCTGAAAGTCCCATAATTACTTTTGTGTGAAGGACGTTATGGGTATTGTTTTGAACTAAAAAAGGATATTTTTTTTTCTGTTGTAAACAGACATATATTTATTCTGTGACTTCTATTAGAAATTTATTTGTTTCAATTTTATTTTGATATTAGTATATACAATTAAAAGGGTAATTAATATTATTCGTGTTTGTCTTTTTTGCATAAAAAGAAAGCAAAATAAAAGACAAGAATGTGCGAACAAAACAAACAGACATAATAAACCCCGAGGCAGAGTCGGTTGTCACAGAAGGTTTCACTTAAATTCTACTAAATATTAACCGCAAAGACAAAATAAACAATAAAGGACATAATTGGTCTTATATGGCCCTATGTTATACTCCCATTTGCAAAGTGCATGGACATTTAACTTCATTTACATCGCCCGTCTGTCTGTTCGTAACTTTCTTTACCTATATCTCAGCTACGTTGATGTTTGATCAATTTAATTAAGATATAGATCTCTCATTCAGTTGTATTCGTATGAGCACGCGAGGTCCGATAGATCTGAATTACTTGATCTCTGGATCTTTATACCGTTTATTTGTATCATGTAAGCGATTTTCAGATCTTCTGGGAAACCACTACCACCTGTTTCACAATACTTTGATTTTTTTTATGTAAAAAAACATGTAATTTTTCGTTAATGTTGTATTTGATTTTATGAAAAAGGATAACTCTGGAGTGGGTTTCACAAAAATGATTGATCGTAAATATTCTGAATTTTTCATGATTTACGATCAATCTTAGTTGTGAGTTTTTTTCTGAAACCGACTCCAGGACCCTAATCATATTGCATAGTACTGTGTAAGCAAGTGTCAGACATTACGAGCAGCCACTTCCTATTTTTAATAACTTAGGAATGTTATTTTACCACATAGTTTGTAATTATTCGTCAAAGTTTTCTTGCCTTTAATGGTAAGAAATAACTTCATGCTAGTTCTGCAGCTTAATAATATTTTGTTGTACTCTGTAAGCAGTTTCAGACCTGCCGAGTAGCCACTACTTGTTTAACAGGCGGAACTAAGAAATTGTACCACTAAACATGATATTTTTAGTCAAAAGTTTGATTTGGCGTACAAGAAAGAATGAATTAATACTTTTCTGCAGCTTAATTATGTTGAGCTGTCATGGGTGTCATAAACAGAAGGCAAGAGGATAATGCATAAAAAGGACAAGAATACTGTAAATTCGGAAATTTTTGCGATGTTTTTATTATTGCGAAAAATGCGACAGGGTCATAATCGCAATAATTTAAACTCGCATTTTGAAATTTTTTATATGAATTAAACAGGATTTTTCTCAATATCGCAAAAATTAAAATCGCATTTTAGTCTAAAATACGTATAATAAATGCACGCAATAATTTCTGAATTTACAGTAACAAATGTATTGGACAGTAGGTCCGAGTACACAGTTATTTCGTAGTGCATTTCTTTTAGACAAATGAAAATTAAAAAAATCCCACCTGCGCTTTCTCAATAATATTTTTACAGTGTGTTGTACTACTTTTGGGACAAATTATATCAAAATTGTAGAAAACTTCATCGGCTCTAACTCAAAATATGGACAATTTTATGTTAAGGGGGTCTTGAAATCTTTTGACAGCTTCCGAAGTGCTAATTTTTAACCTTTTTCAGCTGGACCAAATCACTACTTTACTTTAAAATTCATGACCCAAATTTTTTTTACGGTGTAATTTCATCCCCCTACATGCTATTTGAGGCATAACACATGAAGAAATAAATTTGGAAGGGGTATAAAAAAAAACTGGCAAGTAACACACTGTCCACACTAGGGACTATATTTGTCGATAACTGTGTACTCGGACCAGTACAACTACACCAACCACCAACACATCCTCCGAGAAACCGAGAAAATAGAAAGTACAATAACATGTCAACAACTCATGTGATAGATAGTCTGACTTGATATAAGCATACACTGTGGTGTCGTTAAACTAGTTCTGCGTGCGCACAATCCTATTTAGACCATATGTCGTAAAAAAACCCAGCACAGTGCAGCTGAATGGATGTATACTAGCTTGCCATGATATTGAGCGAGAAGATGTATACTTGGCATGATACTGAGCGAGAAGATGTATACTATGCATGATATTGAGCGAGAAGATGTATACTTGGCATGATATTGATCGAGAAGATGTATACTTGGCATTATATTGAGCGAGAAGATGTATACTTGGCATGATATTGAGCGAGAAGATGTACACTTGGCATGATATTGAGCGAGAAGATGTACACTAGGCATGATATTGAGCGAGAAGATGTACAACTAGGCATGATATTGAGCGAGAAGATGTATACTTGGCATGATATTGAGCGAGAAGATGTATACTTGGCATGATATTGAGCGAGAAGATGTATACTTTGCATGATATTGAGCGAGAAGATGTATACTTGGCATGATATTGCGTGCAACTTCTTGTTTATCATATTTCTTTTCTACTCGGCCACATCCCGTTGGAATGGATACTGATTCCTCGTGTAGGGTGGATGCCGAGCTTTCTGTCCGTCAAAGAACCATTGCAACACATCTCCAAGGGGTCAGTAGAAGGCTTGTTTACAAAACTTAATTTCTGCCCTATCCAACATACCCCCATTTTCCAGGGCAGTCCAAATTTCCTGCCATTCATCCTAGTCGCATACCTTGCAGAACATACATATTGTGTTAATTTGTTTATTGTATGCATGAAATACTTGCCACTGGACATGACACAAAATATTCGCTCTTGCAAACTTCGGTACCAATTCTTATTCAAACAAGTGATTCAAATGCAATAAAGTATGTATGGGTATTGTGATTTCATGTAATGATAAACATCGACATCAGAAACATAGAATAAATAAAGGAACTCGAGCCTCGGTAAATAGGCCGATCGACATTTGCGCGAATTTGAAAATGACAAGCATTACGCTTGCGCGAAGAAATGGTATAACGTCTGTGCGAATTTACCTATAATTTAGCTGAGTTTTTAACTGGGATTTAATTCTGAGAATAACCCCAGGAAAATGAGTGATGTCGGTGGTTGTTGTCTATCATGTTTGTTTTTGATTTTATTTATTGTTTTGAACACAAATTGGCAATCATACCATATCTTCCTATTTCCTATATTAATAAATGATTTAATTTTGGATGTAACACGTCTTCTGATTGGCTGAAAGTGTTTTGTCTATCAGCTCATAGACATAGTTTTGTCACGTGACCGTGACGTCGACAACTTTTTTTCAAAATTTACTCCTTAAAAAAAGGAATTTAGAATTAAATTATACGGAATGACTGTAATATTTTTTTCTGTCTATTCGAAATAACCTAAAAAATGTGGTGCACACTTTTAAATAACCCGATACGCGGGTTATTCAGTGTGCACCACATTTTTAAAGTTATTTCTTCACAGACAGAACAAACATTACAGTCATTCTTTCAACATATATTAGAGAATATAAAAAAGAAGATGTGGTATGATTCCCAATGAGGCAACTCTCCACAAGAGACCAAATAACACAGAAATTAACACATATAGATCATCGTACGGCCTTCAACAATGAGCAAACCCCATACCGCACAGTCAGCTATAAAAGGCCCCAAAATGACAATGTAAAACAATTCAAACGAGAAAACTAACGGCCTAATTTGAAGAAGTCTTTATTTGTTTATGTAAACATTAAAAAGCTCTAAATTTAATTAAAAGAAAGTTTTGAATAAAATACAGTGAATATCTTGGAAAGGAACATTAAGAGTATACAGTCATAATAAAACACAGTATACATGTATATGATATCGACAGTAACCATCTATAAATCAGTCCTTGCCTGGTACTTATATTCTAGCAATTACAAATAACATTGGCGGGACATTTTTTCCAGTTTGAAACTTAAAATATTGTTAAACGGTAAACTGAATTTTGTCTTTATCTGTGCGCTTTTACAAGAGCTTGGTTATCGCTACCGCGAATAGTCTGTCTAAACTTGTAGTATAATCTCAACGAAGGTGTAGATGGCTGGGTGAGTAGAATAAAACTGTTCATTGTAATGGCTGTGAAAATACTCTGGCCAATTGTTGGTACGTTTTTTGGCTAAAACAGTTCAATTTTATTTTCGGTTTTTTTTAAATTAAAAATAAAATTGTTTATTTTAATTTGTTTATAAAAAGTCAAGGATTTCGTTTTTATGAATTGTTTTAATTAATCCGCGCAAACGTAGTGACTTTTCAACCAGTGAATTTCGGGCAAACGTAATGCGTTTTGTCGCGCAAACGTGGATTTCTGAGTAAATAGATCTTAAACCGATCGCAAGCTAGAACACGAAATATGTATACGTCATTTTATTGCTGATTGCTGTATACCAAATGTTTGTAGTCTTCAAGACCATGATTAAACAGTTTAAATCTGATTGTTAAAAGCAACAGTTTTTTTTCTGAACATGTGATAAAATTGGGAATGGAAATGGGGAATGTGTCAAAGAGGCAACAACCCGACCATAGAACGACAACAGCAGAAGGTCACCAACAGGTCTTCAATGCAGTGAGAAATTCCCGCACCCGGAGGCGTCCTTCAGCTGGCCCCTAAACAAATATATATACTAGTTCAGTGATAATGAACGCCATACTAAACTCCAAATTGTACACAAGAAACTAAAATTAAAAATAATACAAGACTAACAAAGGCTAGAGGCTCCTGACTTGGGACAGGCGCAAAAATGCGGCGGGGTTAAACATGTTTATGAGATCTCAACACTCCCCCTATACCTCTAGCCAATGTAGAAAAGTAAACGCATAACAATACGCACATTAAAATTCAGTTCAAGAGAAGTCCGAGTCTGATGTCAGAAGATGTAAACAAAGAAAATAAACAAAAAAGATAGCATGAATATTTGACGAATCAGTCAGCTTTTACGTTTAATCAAAATGTTGAATCACATTAATCCATATTTGTTATTTTAGTGTTAATTGGGTCATTCATACGTGTAATTGTTTCCCGTTTAATGCTGTTAGCTTTTATCATGCCATTAGCTTTCGGGTTTTCTACATTTTTGACCCATGGCCTTTTTAAGATTATACGCTGAATTAAACAGACCATTTTACAACAAATCAAATCTTAATATTAAAATTAAAATCTCCATTTTGTTTTTCACAATCTATAAATATGTTTAATTTCATAAATTGAAATCAGAATTATATCCTTAAGGAGTGACAGCATATACATGAAGTAATTGATTTAACAATAATGTTTTGCATTGCAAATACAAGATCAAATAAGTAGAGAAAGAGGAATAACTCTCGGTAAGAAATCGGGGTGATTTTTTCTGTTATTTATGAGACGGAGAACAATTCTAACTGCCTTCACTCTTTTTGCCAAGTCTGGAAACGTCATCTTCAACAGTGCAAGTAGTTTGTCAAGTTTACAATGATTCTTTCAGTTCATTGTCTTTTTAATAAGAGGACTGATCAATTATGCACAATCATCACGAGGTCAAAGATGTCGATACGGGGCAGTTTTAAGGTCAACTAATATATACTATTGGAAATTTTAAATGTTTTATGTAAGCAATGCATGGTAAGCTAGGGGACGACACGCTTCTGGATTGTGAGATATAGTGGGTTAAAAAGGGAGGACGGGTTCAAAAAAGTTTAAAAAAAAGTTCAATATGTTGCTTACGTCACCCAGCCATTTATGTTTTATGGATACTTACATCAAATTACAAACAACAAAATTTTTTGAAATAAGATGTATCGATGAATCTGCACCTCAATCTAGACAAAATAAGGAGGATTTCCTATCTCAATTTTAAGAATAGAATTTTGCGAGCAAATGGGACATAATTTGACAATTAAACTTTTGAGTTGACTGTTTACACTTTTAGCGCTATATTGTAATGGACAAGAATTTTTTTATGTTGTGCTGTCTTGATGTAATTAGATTTTTTATCCTACCGTAGATAAATTTATTTCGCTAAAATGGCCATTGATAATTTCACTTTTCGGTAAAATTTGTAAATATTCTGGCGCTAAAATGGGCTATACTTATGCGCTAAAATGGGCTATACCTTGGTGCTAAAATGGGCTATACTTTGGGGCTAAAACGTCAGATTTTTTTCATTTAAATGTCCGCCGCCGCAAAAAAAAAATGGAATCTGAGCAAAAGAAGGGAAAAAGTGGGAAGTAGGAAAAATTATAAAAAAGGCGGTATTTGGGAAAGAACACCCCGTGTCACACCTTCTTATGTGTTATTTGCTTGATGATTTTAATCGACGTTCGCAACGCGTCTATATTTTTTATTGAATTTCTTATTCTTCATGATATAGAATTTACTAAATAATTAATCAAATCGTGTGATCGTATGTAAACTGTTGGTATATAACAAATCAATAACCTGTGAGACTGTCTGGTTTTTGAAATTAATCAACTAACAGGTAAGATAACACCATAGTCCATTCATCTTCTAAAACCAATGTTTGGTTAGATGATGTTGTTGGTTGATGTATTTCCCTCGTCTAATGATATAGTGTGATCATAGCTGTTAACCATTTAAGCGATTTGGCTGTACTCCTCACCCTGGGAACTTCAGCAGATAAGCGATTTACCTCTTATTCTTATAGACACTTTCAAACGATGAACTAGTATTGTATCAATACAAAGAAGATCCACCATTTATTGTTAAAAAAAATGTTGATATTTGAGTTGTGTACTATGTATGGTTGTTGTGAAATGAGCTGTTCCGTTGATTCTCAGTAGACTCTCAACAATAGAATGACTTCTGTGAGAGTTGTCACTGGACCAATTTCGCTCAAAACTAGTTTTTTTTTTTTGTGAAAATGTTATATATATAACAGAATTAATAGTTGCAATCTAAAAAAAAAGGGGGTAAATACAGCGGAGAAATATTATATAACATATCAAAATCAGAGATTTAATTATTCTAAAGACTCGCATCCCAATATATTTTTCATGAGGTGAAATCATGCTTTAAACTTTTAAATTGTTAAGAATTTCTAAATATACATTTAAAATTCGTATCTTTTATTTATTGTTGTGTTGTAGATTTTATTACATAAATTTAGTCATTCTTTAAAAATAGCTGTGATCGATTTTCGAAAACAAAATTACGGTTGCTCCATTCATATTAGTCTTTTTGATATATTATTGAACTAAATTAGAAGATATGGAAGTTATAATGTGTTCCATTTCGTACCTTTGATACTTTTCGATCGGTATTTATTGCTCAAAACCAAATATTGCAAATACGAAAGAATCACACCTTGACGTAGGAACCGAGGACATTTTTAAATGTATTATTAATCTCGTGTAGAAATGATTCAAAGATCAATACAAATTGTATAGAATCGATATTGTAATTCATTGGTATACGTAAAGGTAGATCGGTTATTCAATTCATATGTGAAAATGTTCTGGATTATTGAGCAGTGCTAATTCTGTTCTACATTCAGTCTTATATTTCAAATTATTGGCAGATATTTGTAAGGATTAAAGGAGGAAGTTACTAAGACTTCGTTTAATATATACGTACAGTAAGTCAATTTTATTACATTATCGTAAACAGGTGAAAACAATATGTATCGGGGCAATCAAAGGTAATAAGTTCACAAAGTACAAAAACCATCATGGCGACAAGAGGAAAAAAACTAAAATACAAGTCTAAAAATCGATCATAGTTTTAACTTCAATTATTATTTTTTTTAGATCTCTATAGTGACAGAAAGTAAACATAATCAAAAACAAAAAATATCAATGTTTAGGTAAATATTTAAAAATAGAAGAGAAAGAAGGGGGGGTCAAAAATGCACAAGTCCAACAATAAAAGACAACATCAATGCCAAACATCAAAACGACTAGTGTGTCATTTGGTCTCTTGTGGAGAGTTGTCTCATTGGCAATCATACCACATCTTCTTTTTATAGTGAAAAACAATAACAAAACATTACATAGAAATTTAGCAACTAAGTAACACGAATCCCACGAAAAGAATCGATGGTGATCTCAGATGCTCTCTGTCCCCAGTTCTACTGAATGTGTTAAAAAGGAACCAAGCAGATTTACCTGATGATGATACACAATGATACACAATGATTGATGAATTGATTGTTGTTTGCTTAACGTCCATTGTGATATACGATGTATATAGGATTGAGGAACGGCAATCAATAACCTGTTTTATCCCATAGGGGTTCTTGTTCAAATAATAGAATGGTGTGTATACAACCATAAACTTATAATCTACACACAAAAAAAACATGTTTGTAGTTTTCTGTTTTATTTTGATGCTGTCTCATCAACGACAAACAAATATATTCGACTCTCAAATCAGGTTTTCCAATTTGAAATGTTCTACATTTTTGTTATGTCGTGCCTATTGTAGCTTGATATGCGGTTTGTGTTTTGCTCATTGTTGAAGGCTGCACGATGACATATAGTTGCTTATTACTTCTATATCATTTGGATTTGTTAGATATGTGTCTCACTGCATGGTAATCATACCACATCTTATTTTTATAGAGTGGGTAGACATAAATTTATTGAACGAGAATTAGTGTTAACATTTCTTTTTAATTTTGACATTCGGATTATGAGATTAAGATTTATTTTTAATTGAACGTTTGGAACATTTCCTTAAGAAAACAATGGCATTGTACTGCTTATTGTATACAATATAATTTTGGACAACAATGAGCAATTTAAATTTGCTCTATTGAGTGTACAAATTACAACAACTTTAACCTGTTTGTTTATGTTGACGACAACACCTGCTGTGCAAAAAAGGAAGAATAAACAATACGAACAAAATGTTAAAAAAGTAAAAAGGGGGGTTATTCCCCAAACGCCGGTGTTTTATTAGATTTATTCACAGCTTTTTAAAGACTCAGGATGATTTAAACCTTGGCATATTATATAGACACTATTAGTTTTTGAAAAGTACACATTGGAATTCATCAGGATCCAGAATCATCCTAGTACAAATCGGAATTCATTAGGATCCAGAATCATCCTAGTACAAATCGGAATTCAGTAGGATCCAGAATCGCCCTAATACAAATCGGAATTCAGTAGGATCCAGAATCCTCCTAATACAAATCGGAATTCAGTAGGATCCAGAATCCTCCTAATACAAATCGGAATTCAGTAGGATCCAGAATCCTCCTAATACAATTCGGAATTCAGTAGGATCTAGAATCATCCTGGTACACATTGGAATTCATTTGGATCCAGAATCATCCTAGTACACATCGGAATTCAGTAGGATCCAGAATCCTCCCAGTGCAAATCGGAATTCAGTAGGACCGAGAACCATCCTAGTATACACATTGGAATTCAGTAGGATCCAGAACCATCCTAGTACACATTGGAATTCAGTAGGACCCAGAACCCTCCTAGTACACATTGGAATTCAGTAGGATCCAGAATCCTCCTTGTACAAACTGAAATTCCAATATATATCTACTAGTAGATATCGGAATTCTTATTTCTACAAATCAAAATCCAGTACATATCAGAATTCCAATATCTACTGGTAGAAATTGGGATATCCAGATTTGTACTAAGGAGGTTCCTGGATTGTACTAGATGATTACTAAAAATTCAAAATAAAAGAAATGTTTTGTTTTTGTCTTTAAAATGAAATAAACTAATGTAATCAAAAATGTCAAAATATCAAAAAGAAGAGTTGGGGCCAATTTTCTTTTTATCATGATCATCAGCAAAAATAAAAAATAATAAAAAAGACACCAGTAGAATCCAGAATCATTACCAACTATTGATTTTAGTAATATCCTGGATCCTAATAGAAATTTAGTACCATCCAGAATCTTCCAAGTACAAATCTGTGTATCCCAATTTCTACCAGAATTTTAATTCTAATTTCTAATAGTATATATAGATATTAGAATTCCAATGTGTGCTAAGAGGATTCTGGAACCTAATAAATTCCAATACGTACTGTAACATATATCTATTTAACTGTTAGTTCCCGAGGGTATCACCAGCCCAGAAGCCAGTACTTCGATACTGGCATGAAAATATCGATTTTGTGTTATTAAAATTTGCTGTAACAAAATTTTGGAAATTATTTTAAATTAAATTAATATCTCCCTCATGCAAAGCTCTGATTCCTTGCCCGGCTTTGGCTATACTTTTGTGTCCTTTTTGGTTTATATCTCTTCGTATATGTAAGAGAATGATAATCTCTTTCTTCATGATTAAGTACGAGCGTTAGCGAGTACTTATCATGAAGTAAGGGATTATCATTCTCTTACAAACTTAGAATATTGTAAAGTGCTCAAGGCTCAAATGATCTATTCAAGAATTAGTTTCATTGTCAGTGCAATGTTTATAATTGATGCATGACTTCCTTTTTCGGCATGTCATTTATAGATTAGTTTTAGTGAAGTGAGGACTTTCTTATCATTTGGGAAATATTTTTTAAAAAAATGCGTTATAGATATTAGGTGACACAACAGTAGAAAGAAAAGGTAGGAATTGTATGTTTCCTGATTGTGAGTATGAATGTAAATTATGTAATATTTTAGTGAGGAATTATCCTTTTTTTATTTACAGTTTAAACCAATTAATACATTTGAGTTACAACTAAATTTTATTTCACAGCCAATATTTTGGTCCGGCTTTTTACATCAAATACTGTTTCATTATGTGAGGGAAATGTTCAAAAATGGTGCCTTATAAGTTTTTAATATGTTCAAAGTTAAATTCCTGTTTTTTTTTATCGGAATACATGTATTGAAAATAACTATTTTCCACAACCGCTGATCAAGTAATCAAAGTTTTGGAAAGCTAAAGATTTAGGTTATTTTATATCTGAAAGATTGTTTTTCTTTTTTTTTTTTGCATTGCTTTGGTATTGTTTAATTTTATAGTAATTTGAAGTTATTAATATTTTCATAATAACATTCACGGTACCAATTTTACTGCACCAGTAAACTTAATCTTATTTTGAGATTTTTGTTTGTTTCACAATTCAACTTTTAGTCAGTTTCAATCACTATATGATAAATCCTTTCAATCTGATAAATGTGCTTCGGGGCAGTTGTAACTCATTTATAGAAACTCTTTGTTTTGAACTGTAAATAGACCCAAATAATAGGATAATCCCTTACTAAGAACATGATTTACATTCATTCTTCACAATTAAGAGGCATCCAATCCTACAATTTCATTGGTCGAGAGTACTTTGCTATATTCTAAATCTTTTTAATAAGCTTTGGATTTTCAAATATTTTGGCCTCGAGCATCACTGAAGAGACATTGATTGTCGAAATGCGCATCTGGTACATCACAATTGGTACCGTTTATTTTATTCTAATCATTTTTGATACATTTGAAGTTCAAGGCCATAGTTTGACATAAGCGAACCATGTCCTTTGTATATTGCTCCCTAGAGTAAATATCTTTTTGTTCGTTTTGTCTACAGTTTGCTTTCTCATTGGCATATACCCAAACATGAACTTTTATTCATATTGATTGATCTATTGTGAGAAGATATATAAAGCTACGTCACACATTGAATAATTCAAAAGCACCAAGGTTTGAACAAATATTACATCATTTCCATTTGCAATGTAATTTATCTGCACTAGTCTGTGTGTAAAACACTCTATCCATAAAATTGATCTGGTATATTTTGAAACCAATTGGATTCTTTTGCTATATATTGAGTACAAGATAAAAAAAAAACTAAAATTATCTCTCTTCGTCAGCGGTGGTTAAAACCAAAATAACTCAAGTTTTGAGCAATGCAATACAAAACCGAAGAACGCTTCAAATGTACTGTTAATTCAACAAAGTAAAAAATCAATACAGCTACTTGATCGTATCAACTACTTAATCATATGAATAATAGATAGGTATACAGCTATACAAGACAGTAGTCTAACGACACAAAACTCCAAAATATATCTACAGGTCAAAAGACGGTTATCAACAATAAATAAATGATCACGTGATACAATATGGCAATCGCTAAATCGCTTCGAGTCTTAGTTGAAGAGACGTCATTAAATGTAACATTGACTAACAACCATTGTACCATACAACAAAACAACAAATTCTCGAAATTCAAAAACCCGTTTATATAACGAGTTCCTAGTCTTGGAACAGTCACATTATACAAGGATTTAAAGCTAGCTTCAATTGCCCGTCTCAATAATATACTAACCTTGTCAACTTATAGATGTGCACCTGACCCCCCCCCCCCCCCCCCCCCCCAATCTTTTAGGTGAGGTCCGTGTTATACAATCTTAAGGTTTATGTGTAAGGTGTGTTTAGTGTATTTCTGTGTGTCTTTGGAACAGTCATTTTCTTACGGTAATGGATAAACCTGTTTTGGTCAACCCATGGGATTTCCATCGAAGGTCGGTGGTTTTGCAGTGTATTATGGCTGGAAATGGCATTAAGCACCAAAAACAATCAATCAATCGAATAAATGTCTATGATTGACGTATTGATATTTTTCCTAAATTTTCATACATTAATTAACCTTCTGTATTTAATCAATAATTAAATGTTAATGTTTCATAATAGCACCTTTTTATATTTTGTTGATTGGCACTCCTTGAATACATGTTGGCACCTTCAAATTATAAAAAAGGTTTGAATAATGTGTGTTGTTGTTCTTTTATATCAGACATAACAAGGCTTTTAAAGTTTATAAAAGATGTGTTAGATAAGCTGATTCATACCTTAACCAAATTAATGGTCTTATAACCGCTAAATGAAATATAACAATGTTATGTTAGGTCCTTTTGAAAAAAATATAGCACAAATACTGAACTACACTGAGGCAAATTAAAAAAAGGGGAAGTCCTTAAAAACTGACAGAATCAAACGAGTATCAATCAACGGAACAAGTGAAAAGCAACTGCCATATTCCTGACTTGGTACAGACATTTTACGAAGAAAATGGTGGGTTAAACCTAGTTTTATAGCTAGCTAAAACATCCATTTGTATGAAAGTTGTTTATAGTTCCGTTATATTGACAAAATTGAATGAGCAACCCAAACAGGCATAATTATGTTAATGTGATAATAATTGGGACCCAGCAGCCAAAACTGTGTAAACAAACACCACAGACAGACAAAACAACTTAGTAAAATATTCAAACAAACATTTTGAATGTTGTTTTATTTTATTTTTTTTGGGGGGGGGGGGTAATTTTCTAATAGTAAGACCCGTCACGGTGAGGCTGGGAACTGGGTGTATGTCAATGCTCACATTAGTCTGTGCCGATACAGCGTGTTAAATGTCCTCCTTTACACCATTACTCGGGGTGGTGCTCCTACCTTTATATTTTTGATTGATCTTTGATTGATTGATGTTTGCTGCATCATAAAAAGGCTATATCGCGCGGGGACTATATTTTTGACTTCGCAGTCTAACGTGAGTAATTCAGATGACTAGATTTATATACCCCAGTTAACTCTTGAAAGGGAAAGATTGGATACTGAGCACTATAAATCAAATCATAGCCATGGCCTAACTGATGGACTTTCTAGTCTTATTCGTGACAGCCTGCATGACATTAAGTAAGCAACAATCATTTAATATTCATGACAGATAATCAATTTCTAGAAACATTTATATCACAATTTAAACATATTTAAATGGAGTTGAAAGTTTATGATTAAGGAACTACTTTGAAATTTACGTCTTCTGTAATGAAAAGTAAATAATAATATTTATTTCCAATTAAAACCCTAATTTCAAAGGAAATTGATCTTAAATAGGCAATAAGTTAGTTTTCGGCCTATCATGGTGATAAGGTAATATTGTTTTCACTTTTGATCGCCAACAAAGGTTAAGCGCACGAATCTGCTGTACAATCTAATCAACCATAAAATATTTTAAAGATTAAAAAAAGGAATGGTGAATTTTCATTTTTACTAGAATAACAAAATAATGTTTCCTTTTCTTTTTACTACAGGAATTCAAACAACATTTTTGTCACGGATTCGGTCCAAAGGAACTAAAATACTTCGAAAAAACTGATTGTACATAAATGCCACGAAACTTCTATCGTTTAAAATAATAAGAAACCCACTGCATTTGTTTGCACCTGTCCCAAGTCAGGAACCTGATGTTCAGTGGTTGTCGTTTGGTGATGTGGTTCATAGGTGTTTCTCGTTTCTCGTTTTTTAATAGATTAGACCGTTGGTTTTCCTGCATGTTTGAATGGTTTTACACTAGTCATTTTGAGGGCCCTTTATAGCTTGCTGTTCGGTGTGAGCCAAGGCTCAGTGTTGAAGGCCATACTTTGACCTATAATGGTTAACTTTTATAAATTTTGACTTGGATGGAGAGTTGTCTCATTGGCACTCATACCACATCTTCTTATATCTATATATATATGTGTTTAACAATTTTTTAATTACTTGACGCAGGACGGATTTGGTCATGTTGGACCAATAATTAATTTTATCTTCGTCATTTGAACTCTGGTGGATAGTTGTATTGGCAATCATACGTACCTCATCTCTTTATTTTATATAGAAATAATAACATTAACGGTACCAATTTATCTGGACCAGATGCGCATTTCGACAACAAATGTCTCTTCAGTGCTGCTCAAGGCCAAAATATGTGAAAATCCAAAACTTATTAAAAAGATCCATTTTTATTTTTAGATGTCTTATAATAACACTACCCAACCAAGCATTTTAAATGTAACGGAGGAAGCACTACATGTGGTATCTGAGGAAGATATATATGGTTTCTGGATAGGATTTAGTCTGGCTATTGTTTCAAACGCATTTACTGGTAGTAGTTATATAGTAAAGAAACTTGGATTAAACAGAGTGGCAAAGAAACAAGAAGGAGTACGACCAGGTACGTGACAGGGGTTAATTAAAAATGGGACCAGGTACGTGACAGGGGTTAATTAAAAATGGGACCAGGTACGTGACAGGGGTTAATTAAAAATGGGACCAGGTACGTGACAGGGGTTCAGTAAAAACGGAACCAGGTACGTGACAGGGGTTCAGTAAAAATGGGACCAGGTACGTGACAGGGGTTCAGTAAAAATGGGACCAGGTATGTGACAGGGGTTCAGTAAAAACGGGATATGTGTTTGACCTTTGTCCTGTTCTTTCTGACAAAGGTTTTTACTAAAACGATAAAGTGTAATAGCCGCTTGTGCAAGGTATTGGTGCCACTGTGCGTTACACGACGTTCACAATAGAAAGTAGATGTTTATATTAGGGATGTCAACTCGGGGAACAATTACTAATCGAGTACTCGTTGGTTTTTCGAGCGATACTCGAGTACTCGCTCGGAAGTATATCTACAACACGAAAACACAAAAATACGTACTTTACGGTTTGTGGTGTTTGTTGTTCAACGGACGAAAAAGCATCTACACATAAGTATCTGGGACAAGGAATTACACACCGTAATTAATAGCTCATTACATAAAGTACTATTTAAGTAAAAAAACAATGATCTAATTAATATAATTTAATGAACACCTATTTAAAAATTATAACAAGGAAAAATCATATCGAACAATAGTATTTGGTAATCGTTAAGAAAACACATGTAATGTTTACAAAGGCGTACGGGTTAGAATAAGGATCCACTGAGGGTCAACAGAAGATGCAATGAATTTATTTCATTTGGAAACATTTTCTTGTCAACTATTTTTGGGGTCAGTCGGTTTTGCAACTTTGTAAATTACAGTCTTGCAGACGAAAATATTTGCTCTGACGGTATTGGTGTGACGGAATGGCTAAGACATGTTTAGTTTAAAGTGTTAGCCTAGGTTTAACACACGTATTTTCGGAGGCATTTTAAATGACAATTTAGTACAAACTTTGAAGCATTCGAAACAAAATATATTTTATTTACTGGTATGATTAATCAGTGATGTATATTTAATTTTCCGAAAGAGGTTCTCAAGAAGATCAATTTTATACAAAGAAGACAGCACTATTCTAACAGGAAACAGATTAGTCGAATATCGTTTTGGTATTCGATGCTTGATACTACCGAGCGATATTCGAATACTCGAGTACTCGTTGACATCCCTAGTTTATATACATATAAATTAATACATATATGTCGTGTAAAAAAGTATTAAGTATAAAAGTTTATATATATATTTATATAACTATTGCATAATATAGATATTGAATATAACACTCAAGGAAATAAAGCATGAAAACGTTTTGAACAACAACTTTTTGAATTAAATTATCATTTCAACATCGACTTATCCTGTTTGGCAATAGACCAATTTAACTGTTAGTATATATGAATTGAATGGTGTTTTAAATTTGGTTTAGTTGACTTGCTTTATGTTTATATCAAATAATAATTACATTACATGACTTTATATGTGTTCCATTAGAATACGTAATTTTGATTGGCTAAAACAATCGCAAGCCACTCCAATATCATATTTTATTTAAGAATTGCATGCTTCTTTTTGTAAATTCATTGGGTTGAAAAAGCGTTGACCGAAGTACATTTTGTTTCAGCGCTTCATTCTAAAAATGTGCACACGGTCAACGCTTTTACACCCCTTTAAAATTACTAAAAGAAGCATTCAATACTTATAATTACATTTTTTTGCTAGGATCATGAAAACACGATTTCTATCAAGTTTTTCTTTTATTTACCTGTGCACTTTATTGTGGAAGCTCAAGTCATCATGAATGTTACATTTCATTTTGAAATGAAGGTTAATTTCAGAATGACGCGAGATTGCTGTTAGCCAATCAAAATAACGTATTATAATGAAATATACATGTAATGTAATTATTTCCGTATAAAATCCAACTATGGCTGCACGTGCTATCCGTGACGATGTTAAAGTAATGCATTGAAAAACAAACGAAAAGCTTAATATAACTCTTAATTTAATGGTTGTAGCATAAAAATGTAATTATAAGAATTTAATGCTACTTTTTATAAGTTTTTAGGATTGTAAAAGCGTTGATCGTGCGCACATTTTCACTACGACCCGCTTCCGCTTTGCACCCCCAATAAAATCATAAAAAGAAGCATTTAATTCCTAAATAAAATACAACAGCTATGATTGAAAGTGCTATCCGTGACAATGTGAACAAGAGTGCACACGCAGAAATGTCTCGCCTTCTTTACTAAGCATTGATTTTATGTTGATAGTCCTAAATATAAATCTTTACTACAGGTAACACATAAACTTAACATGATCCAAGAAAATGAGATCAAGGTCAGATAAACCAAACGAGAAATACATGTACACCTTACAATTATTCAATAAACCAAACATAGTTGACCTATTGCTTATAGTTTCTAAGAAACAGTCTTAACCAAGAAAACTTAACATTGACCAATGAACCATGAAAATGAGGTCAAGGTCAGATGAACCATGCCAGACAGACATGTACACCTTACAATCAATTTATGCATTAAATATAGTTGACCTATTGCTTATAGTATCTAAGAAACAAACTTAACCATGAAAACTTAACATTGACCAATGAACCATAAAAATGAGGCCAAGGTCAGATGATAAAATTGAGAATGGAAATGGGGAATGCGTCAAAGAGACAACAACCCGACCATAGAACAGACAACAGCAGAAGGTCACCAACAGGTCTTCAATGCAGCGATAAATTCCCGCACCCGGAGGCGTCCTTCAGCTGGCCCCTAAACAAATATATATACTAGTTCAGTGATAATGATACCTGCCAGACAGACACATACACCTTACAATCATTCCATATACCAAATATAGTAGACCTACTGCTTATACTGATCCATAAAATGAGGTCGAGGTCAAGTGAAAATTGTCTGACGGGCATGAGGACCTTTCAAGGTACAAACATACTAAATATAGTTATCATATTACTCATAATAAGAAAGAAATTAACATTACAAAAAATGTTGACTTTTTTTCAAGTAGTCACTGAACCATGAAAATGAGGTCAAGGACAATGGACATATGACAGACGGAAACTTCGTAACATAAGGCATCTATATACAAAGTATGAAGCATCCAGGTCTTCTAGCTTCTAGCTTCTAAAATATAAAGCTTTTTAGAAGCCGCCGCCGCCGGATCACTATCCATATGTCGAGCTTTCTGCGACAAAAGTCGCAGGCTCGACAAAAACCAATGCATAAAAAAAAAGCTTGATATAACTCTTTAATTTCATGGTAGTAGCATAAAAATGTAATAATAAGAATTAAATGCTTCTTTTTATAATTGAATAGGGTTGTAAAGGTGTTGATGGTGCGCACATTTTTAGCACCAAGCCCGGAAGTCAAACGGTACAAGTAGCAAGAAGTTGTATGTTAAATAATGTTTTTAAATTAGATATACTGAGCTTTCAATGTTTTTGTTTCTATTGTAGACCACGATGGATATGGTTATCTAAAAGAATGGCTGTGGTGGGTTGGAATGTGCTTAAGTACGTCACTAAAACCTAATAAGTTTATTTTTAAGTATGATTGGTGTCGAATTATAGATTGTTGTGTCTTTACAATATGCATGTCAAGCTTCAAGTCGTCTAAGTCTGAAAAAGGGTTTGGAATTAATAATAATAATCAATATCTTTATTGTCATATAAACATAATTAGCTTGTGACAAAAAAAACAAAAAACAAACATAATATAGCAAAAAATTACAATTCTATAAGAAATGAACACATGGAAAAAAATTACAAGATTTCTGCCCTCAGTTCTAATGACTGTTTTATAAAGGAGCCAATATGTTCAAAATAATTATTCCATGATATTATTTTTTTAATTTTTTGTTCTTGGGTAAGAGACATAAAATTATGAGAAGGTAAACGATTTTCAAATAGATTATTTCTAAGTTTTTTTTGTTAATTTTACATTCAAGGAGGAAGTGTTTTTCATCCTCCAGCAAGTGGCACAGTTTACATATTCTATCCTTTCTACTGTAGGAATTTTATAATAGCAACCCTTTTCATTTCCTAAATTATGGTCATTAATTCTCAACTTAGTGAAGCGTTTTCTTATAGGAAAGTCATTGGAAGCTAAATAAAATTACCTATCCAAGCTAAGTTTTAATTTTTTTATAAAGTAACAGTCTAATATTTTCACCATAACTTCAGTTTTAATCAAGGACTTTAAAGAGTTTATTTCATTCAAGTCCATTAACTAGTCGGGGTTTTAAAAAAATTCTGCAATCAGCACCAAATTGTCAAAATAACAAAGAAAAAAAGACAAACAAACAAACAAACAAAACGAATAAAAACAAACAAACGAAGAAGGAAAAATTAAAAATCGTGTAATGCGCGCTTCATCGTTTTGTCGTCTGACATCAATTTGCATTAACCAACTACATGTAATAAGTTATTTCAACTTATTCGATACCAACGCAAAGGTTTGCATCAAACATGTAGGATAAAATTTTGACGGTCCAATCAGCAGACGCCATTTTATGTGTGGTGACACTTTGTTGCTGGTGTATGTTTTGTGTGTATTATGTATGACATTTTGTAAAGCGCCGAACAAAGTGTTATTTTCATACAAAACAGGAAGTCTGTCGATCTCGGGGCATTAAGTTGCAGTGTAGGATGTAAAAAAACAAACCGTCCGACCGAAATAGAAAGTGTAAAATTAATGAAACTTGTCCGTAAACTTTAAGACCAGTCCCCTTATATATATGTGTGATTATTTAAAAAAAAGATACTTTTGTTCAATTTCAGTGATCTTTGGAGAAATACTGAACTTTTTAGCCTACATTTTTGCTCCAGCCACATTGGTTACACCACTAGGTGCTCTGAGTGTTATTGTGACGTAAGTACAACACAATTATAAACTTTATTTATATTATAAATTCAATATGAAACATGAAGGACAATAGGACAGAAAGACATTATTTTCGTTTGTAAATTTCTTAGACATCAATTGCTCTGACCACGCCCACAACTAGAACTGTCAAAGGCCTTCAGACGTTAGAGCAAATTGTATCAGACGTTCTAAGCTTAGGGAGCTACCATTTGATTTTTTTAAGGGGGGGACTAGGATGAAAAATGTTGTCCTGCCTTTTTTCCCCTCTATTCGGTCCTGCCTTTTTATTTTTTCACTCTTTTCAGTCCTGCCTTTTTTTTTTTTAGTTTATCCTGACTTTTTTTTTTACATAAATTGTCATCATGCCTTTTTTTTGCAAATAATCTCATCCCCCCATAAAATTCAAATGGTAGCTCCCTTAGTCTAGACGCCAATTGAATGTACCGTTTTTATTGATTTATCAAACAAAACTCGATTTAGCTTCATATATGACTTATAAGAAGTTGCATCGAATGTTCTTCTTACAAATTCTCACTACATGTACAAACCTTGTTTTTGTTATAATGGCTTGATGCGTTTTTATGTAAAACAACCAAAGTTTATCCATACTTATCAATACTAACTGTAATGTTTCCGTATATTTTACATCGCATATTCGATTGAAAATATATATACAGATTGAATTTTCATCTTCTTCGTTAACAGGTTGGCTTATTTGCTACCATCGGCATCAATTGGTCTCTGGTGAATAGTTGTTTCATTAGCAATCATACCACATCTTATTTTTATATCACTCATCATAATAGAATTATATTACTTTTATCAAGGACGTATAACTAATATACGTCCTTGCTTTTATAATGCAATCATTTTTACCCCATTTAGTACATGCATTCTTCATTAAATTGTGACTTTTCTTCATAATATATGTAAGTTTGTTGATCGATTGGCTGAAGTTCTATTGGTTGGCTAGAGTGAGATATAGAATTGCTAACATGTAACATATTAAGCACGGAAGACAAGGAATAAACTAACAGTATGGGTATTTAAGACGATCAAAAATTAGTGCTTCATTTCGACTTAACGTTTTTTTTAGAAAGATTTAACTTGTATATGACATTTAAAAAACATGTGACCAAAAATTCTCTTTTTTGCAGCGCTGTTATGTCATCAATTTTTTTGAAAGAGAGACTCAATATAATAGGTAAAGTGAGTTGTGGATTGTGTGTGATCGGATCCACTGTCATGGTTGTACATTCACCCCAGGAAACCCAAGTTCACAGTATGGATGAAATGTTAGAGAAAGTTCAAGAGCCAAGTAATATATGTTTTATTTATATATACGTCTATGTAAAAGGAAAGACACAAGTTGGTTAACATCAATGGGCTGCAACAATAAAATAAATTAATCAACAATTTTATTGGCAAATTACACAAATACTGGTTTATCAAAAACACAAAAAATAACACAGTATTAATACAAAATTCCTTAATTACAAGAAGAGACATAAAACAAAAACATAGTCATGATATTGTAACTTTTTATCAACAAGGATTTCATTTATTGCTTTTTAAATAAAGTCAGAAACCACGGACAAAAGTTCGAAATCAATATTAAACAATTGTTTCAGCTTGAAAAGTGGTTGATAATTTGTACAGCCAGGTTTCACATAATTGATTTAAAAAAAATAACTCATCTCTTAAAGTTGAGTTCAGTTTGCAATTTAGAAAATAGTAGTCTTCATCCTCCAGTTATGTAAATCTAACCAAATATATCTATAGGTAAACATACGGTCTGCAATTATAATCAAGACTGTCTGTACATTACGTCAAGTTCTTAGACGAGTTCAGGCTCTTTATACCGGTAACCGTCCTAGACAAGAGATGAAAACATTTTTAAAAAGTTTATCAAAGATCTGCCATCAATGCCATATTATCAAACGGCCAAAAAGAAATATGATTGGAATGGTTAAATTTCTTTTTGGGGCACTCAGCTCTCTGCCTTAAAATCCACATAATTGGAATAAAAGAGAAGAACAATAAAAAAGTAATTTCTAGGAAAAAAACAGCTAAAAGTATCGGTATTTAGACAAAAAATGTGTGTTAGTGCTCGGAAGGATTTGTGCTTCCTTTACCACTGTTTTGGCTTTGCATTGCAGTGCAAATTAAGCTAATAGTTTTCTTTGATATAATTGTTGTGTAAATATCGGTTCTGATCGATTGTTAGTTTGAATCGGATCTAAAATTTTTAACATGTCCCGAGCAGGAGAAGATAAAAATATACGGAAGATGAGAAATATATACAGTATGGGTATTCGAGACCCGACCATCAATTATTGCTTCTATGATACTGCAAAGCACTCCGTACCTTTAAGAAAGGTTAAACTTGTTTCACTTATTATCTTCTGACATATTTATATATTTATTTTTTCAGTATTTATCGTGTACTGTTTAACATTATTAGCCGTTGCATTGGTGTTCATAATAATCTTAGCGCCGAAATATGGAGGAAAATACGTACTGGTTTACCAAGCAATCTGTGGAATACTTGGCTCTTTCACAGTTATGGGATCTAAAGGAACCGGTATAGCTATATCACAGACAGTAAAAGGGGACCAGCAGTTTACGAACTGGTTTACTTATGTAAATCTTGCTATAGTCATCGCATGTATATTGGTTGAGTTGAACTTCCTGAACCGGTCGTTAGCTAAATTCAACACTGCCGTTGTGATACCAATCAATTACGTCTTATTTACATCGTTCGTTGTTTCCTTATCTGCTGTTTTGTTCAAAGATTTTTTCTACATGAACTGGAAGGATATAGTATCGTTCTTCTTAGGTTTCATCATTGTAGTAGGTGGAATATTCTTACTGAATTCCTTTAAAGACATGGACATTACAATGAAAAATTTACCGAAGGCTCATAAAAAGGAAATTGAAAAAGATGAGACTATCAACATACTAGTCAATGGAAATATAAAAAATACTAATGATACTTATCGAAAACTGGATAACAGTCAAAGTATAGCCAGTATAGACCAGATTGTATTTGAAACAAAATGATAAATAGAGATTATAAATGTAGGAGATTTAATATGGCTACGGTCCATGTGATTTGTGATTTCGTTCCAATTACGTGGTTCCAATCACGTGGTTCCAATATGTCAATGACATGGAAGAACAACGGATAATATTGTGAAACATGTTACGGCTCCTGTGCATTTTCATGTCTTATTTTGTCACTTGATGACGTTTTAGTCACGGGGGTGGGGTCGAGGGGGGAGTCACCATACAAATGTGGATACGTAACAGACGTCTGACCGGGGTTTAACACCCCATGGCCACCCATTAATATATAGATTTTTGTGAAAATCCCTTCCCATTAACAATTTGTTTAGGAAAATCATAACCCATTTATATATTTTCCAGCGATTAGATATACAATTGGTGACATTTTATTTACCTGTTAACCACATTGGATCATTCATATTATTAGATAAAAAGACCAGTACACAGTTTTTATCGACATGTATCTGAACAGAATTAAGATGAAAATTTTTGATCTATTAACATCAAATCTAAAATATATTTGACATTTCAAATAGTGACCGATATCAGCGACACGTCTGTTCAAACATTAAATTTATATTGGAAGAGACCCCTCCCCTCTCGTGGTTTTATTTAAAACAGCATAATAGTGCTCCGATTTCAATCTCCAAAAAGGGAATTGTTTCAATGAATTTTCTTTTTTCAATTAGAATTTGAGCGATAAGTGACTGCACGAAAACGTTCGTACGAGAAAACAGATCTCCTTTCATAGCCTTTTTTACAGCATAATATTTTAGCATAAACACATTGTGTATTCGCCTAAAGTTTAAGAGGTATTGTATTCGCCTGTCTTGGTTAAATGGTGGCCTTTGACATTTGTATGGGTTACTTTCCGAAAAGCAAGCATATTTAGGAGTAAGACCTAAGACTGATTGGCTCGGGATCGGAATAGTATACCTGGATATGTTGGAATATCATTCTTTGGACAGTTACGTTATGTACTACTGACTGTGCGGTATGGGCTGTGCTCGCTCATTGTTGAAGGCCGTACGGTGACCTATACTTGTTAATTTCTGTGTCATTTGGTCTCTTGTGGAGAGTTGTCTCATTGGCAATCATACCACATCTTCTTTTTAATAGCACGTTATAAATCCATCTCAGTGAGTCCGTCTAATAAAAACATGTTTCCGTCCTGAGTGTATATGTAATATTTGTCACAGAACGTTAAGCAGTTATCAATGAAATAGCATTGAGTTATAGTTACATGTTAATTACAAAGGACTTAAACATTTAGTCAGGAAATAACTGTAAAGCAGTTAGGAACTGTATCATGTGTAGGCCGGGTAGATATTTATCTAATACACAAAGTTAATTGTCCATACATATTGTAGTAATATTAGATCCAGTTAACAGATCCTATTTCAACGCTTTACTTACAGGGCTTGTAATACAGACCCTGTTAAGGGCTTGCAAGCAAAGCGTGTACACATGATCTTTATTTTAATCAGATTGAGTATGTTTTATTTATTTACATATGAATGAATATGTTGTTATATGTTTTGTTATTGTTGTGTGTGTGTTTTTGGCAAACTTTTATCCTATTGTTCTGAATAATGATGTTTTTGGAAGATTTTCTTGATAAAACATTCTGTCGAATCTACGCGATTATTTTGTTAATTTATAGATATTTAATGTCTTTCTAGAATAAAGTTTGTAAGAGTTATAGATATTTAATGTCTTTCTAGAATAAAGTTTGTAAGAGTTATAGATATTTAATGTCTTTCTAGAATAAAGTCTGTAAGAGAGTAATTTTCTTGCGTAATTAATGACCTGACAGTTCATTCTTTGATAATGTCTCATTTCAGTAGGTTATTGTTATACGAAAGAAGAAGATATTGATTTCTCAGTGGGGCTATGTTTGTCAGTTTCTTGTGTTGTGTTGTACCACTACTGTCCCAGATTAGGAGGGTGAGGGTTCTCGCAAACGGCATGTTAAGCCCCACAGTATTCTGATTATATCTGTCCCAAGTCAAGTGTCTGAACAAAAACTCGACTCCTGCTTCCTGTATTCTTAATATAATGTATTGACTTTGACCATGCATACAGACATTCTAAGTTGTTTATTCAAGACACCCTCTGGTTGTGGGCAAAAACGAAATGTCCTTGTTGAACATGTATAAGGCTACAAACGGGGACCTATGGTTGCTTACATCCACATATGGACACCGGTGGAAATCTGTAGCATTGGTATCATACAAAATCTTTTTATTTTCATACGAAGTTTCATGTGTTTCCTTCATAGGCATTCAAAAGATATAGGAACTTGACATGCATGACTTGCACAAACCACTGTTGTATATATTATGTATAGGATGGTCGGGCAAACAATAAAGGACATCGAAAATTGGCAAACAATAATTTAAAAAACAATAGAGACAAAGGGTGCTAAAATATAAAGAATAATGAAGGAAATAAATAAAGAATAGAGAAAAATGGTCCAAAAGAATAAAATAATACATACAGAATGAACGACACATTGTGATTCCTATATTATGTCAATTTTGGTACAAATAATTCCTTCGTGTCGGATGAGCTAAAATTGAAAAAATAAAAAATATTTTCAAAATTTTTCGTCAGTTATCTCTTGATCATAAAAAATCAGGGGGATTAAGGCGGGAGCGTGGCGGGCGTGCACCCCCTAAAATTTGCAAAGCATGGGTTGTCCTCAGCTAAATAAAGAATATTTCGATAATTTTACCTCAAAAATTTTTTCGCATCGCTCCGATCGGCGAAAATTTTAAGTTTGCGCCCCCACCCCCCACCCTAACCTTAAATCCTGGATCCGCCCTGTAAACTTCTATGAAATTCTATACAGGCTTGACACATGTTAAAAATGGAAAAAAGTTTATGAAAGAAGCTGCTTCCCAAGTTACGTAAAATTCCACGAAGATAAGTCGATGTCATTAAAAAAAACTTTAACCACAGACTGAACCTTAATGTCGATAACGTCGAATTGTATGATCACTGTCGTTGATAACGGAAAGTAGGTCACCATGACTTGTTGCAGGCTCGACATAACCCTGACCACAGAAACATCACCTCCCTCTTTGATCGTCCAGACTTAGCAGATTCAAATGAAATATAATTAAGATAGGTTTGTCAAATACATTTTATTTACTATTTTTTCATATATATTATTATTCTGCACCAATCATGATACAAGATATCTGAATGAAACAAAAAGTAAAATAACAAAAATACCGAACTCCAAGGAAAATTCAATACGGAAAGTCCCATATCAAATGGTAAAATCAAAAGCTCAAACACATCAAACGAATGGAAAACAACTGTCATATTCCTGATTTGACCATCAAACAAGACAATCTTATTACAATTCAGATCTATCGGAGCTCGCGTGCTAGCTCATGTGACCAAAACGAAATCAGGGATATTTTAATTAGATTGGAAACAAGACAACCTGCTTCAAATTTTTAATGCAAATATAAAAATACAAAAACAAGCTTTTGGTCACTGCAAACTTTCTAAAGTTCATTGAATTCCACAGAAAATAGATCCAGAGACTCCCAAGTACCAAGCAAATATATCATGTCATACAAGATAAAAGAAATCTGATACAAAGAATAAATATTGTAAAATACAAAAAAAAGTTCAAAATACATGCTGCCGGATTATTTGAGGTGTACTCAACATAATTCCTTTGTTTTAAATAGCCCAAAACTTTAAAGCTATGTAAAGATATATAAGATCACCAATATAATAATAAACTGATTTTCATTCCTCATCTTAACGCCAATTTTTGTTACAAGTATTTTAAAAAATTCTAGCTTTACTTTTTGCTTTCACCCTTTCTTTAAAGCATTGATTTGGTACATTGAGGTAGATATTAACGTATATTTTTTAATCGTTGGTGTTGATTGCAGGGAACAAGTACTTCTTGTAAACCAAATTATAACTTCAGAGCCAAATTTCTACATTAGGGATTGTGCTGTAAGAAGCCATGGTATCTGTTAGTTCATCCATCTACTATGCTACAATCATCTTTTCAAATATTCTTCCGTATCTGCCAACATTGTGCAATTTATATTTTTCTGTTTCACAAGTTTCTCCAATTGAAGAATTGATTAAACGTTTCTATTGTCTTTTAGCTGATAGGAAAAGACATGATAGTTTACAAAAATTGTCTTTTAGCTGATAGGAAAAGACATGATGGTTTACTGTACACGTATACCTAACAACAAAATTATTTTCATTTACCTGTGTTTAAAGTTATTGCAAATGGATGGTATTTTTGTTCGAGCATATTGTTTTTCTTTAATTGTTTAACATTTCTTACCGATATAATATGTTACTTTTATTATTCTTCCCTTAGTTTATTTATTTTGTATTTACATTGTGTCATAGGTCAAATTTATTTGTTCAGTGTATGTTCAATGGTGTTAATATGTCCTTTGATTGAGCTAAGCTATTTCAGTTGATATTTTATAGTGTGTCTTTCTATGTTGTGATGTTACACTATTGTTTCAGAAAAAGGGTGAAGGTTTGGTACCATTAAAACGTTTAAACCCGCTGCATTTGTTTGCACCTGTCCTAAGTCAGGAATCTGATGTTCAGTAGTTGTCGTTTGTTGATGTGGTTCATAAGTGTTTCTCGTTTCTCATTTTTTATATAGATTAGACCGTTGGTTTTCCCGTTTGAAAGGTTTTACACTAGTAATGTTTTGGGGCCCTTTATAGCTTACTGTTCGATGTGAGCCAAGGCTCCGTGTTGAAGACCGTACTGTGACCTATAATGGTTTACTTCTATAGATTTTGACTTGGATGGAGAGTTGTCTCATTGGCACTCATACCACATCTTCTTATATTTATCTATATATTTAATTGCATTTAATCGCCAAAAACATGGAAACCAATAAAGGAAAGGGGAGGTTTGCGGTTTAATGAACCGTGAAGCAGAAAAGAGATTTTGTACAGTTGAACCAAACAACTGTTTCGGTGTGGCACTTAATAGTTTGATAAGCCTTTTCAATTTTAAAGTACCAATGTAAGAATCTATATTTCTATATCATAGAAAATAATATTAGTCCAAGTACCTTGTCTTACGGGACGCCTGACTAAATTTGCGTTTACTCTGTACAGAAAAGATGTGGTATGATTCCAATGAGACAACTCCCTACCAAAGACCAAATGACATAGAAGTTAACAACTGTAGGTCACCGTATGGCCTTCAACAATTATAAAAGTTATAAATAATTAGCAAACCCATACTGCGCAGTTAGCTATAAAAGGCCCTGATATGGAAAATGTAAAACAATCCAAACGAGAAAACTAACGGCCTTATTTATGTACAAAACAATAAACGAAATAAAAATATGATGTACAGCAACAAACGACAACTACTGAATAGCATGCAGGCGCCTGACTTCGGACAGGCACATACATAATGTGGCGGGGTTAAACATGTTTTCTGATGCCAAACCCTCCCTTAATCTGGGACAGTGGTGAAACAGTACAACACACTCACACATTCCCAAATTATATCCTTTTCTTCTTCAGTTAAATTCAATGTGTCTCTTTTTAAGAAAACTTTACAGATAAATTCTTGTCAAATATTTAGGTCGACTTTTCAGTAACTTAAATCCCCTTTGTAGATAATTAGGCAACGATCTGACAAGTAGGGGGCAAAGTTTGGTGTTGTCTCACTGATTTTTTTCATTTGTTTAACTCATAAAAAAAATTGCTTCGTATATATAAATGAACAATACTATTCCCATACGCATTTAACCGATGTTAACTGGATATGTACCGTATGCCTATTTGCAAACTCTTCGGCAGTTCTAGCTCAGATCCACAACGGAAACGAAAACTGTACGGGGTTTAGCCTATTTGTATACTAACAAATACGTATGGAATATATCTTTTATTAAGTTTTTTTTTGTAATATTACTGTAACTTGTTATAGTTATAAAAAAAATCCGAATTTGATTTATTGCAGTTGTACCCAAGTTTGGCTTAATTTATTATAAGTAAAAACGATCAACATTTGAATTAATATGAATATTATTCTCACATGATGTAAGTAATATTTGAATTTCTACTTTGGTCATTGGAAGATTTTAGTAAATATGGTTTTTTTTTGTTGAGTTGCTGTCTCATTGAAATGTACCCATATCACGTTTTATAAAAAAATAAATGTTATATTGAAAAGAGGAACCATCTCAACGAGGAGAAATAAAAATTATATATTCTAATTTCATATATTAGGTATTCTTTTATTAGAATAGATACGTTACAAATACACCATAATGCGAACATACGTTGCCTAAATAGTTAACGTCAAAAACGTCAAATTAGAGATCCTGTGACATTTTGGTAGACCACCATGTGACTGCTTTATTTTGATGATTTGTGCATTAATCTTTATTTCAAATATATCGAAAGGTTCCTTTTGCAAAGGAATTTTATATTATGATTATTTTTTACAAACAACTGATGTAGTTTTCACTCTTTTTTTAAGATTTGTAATAACTTGTCCCTCATAACTAAAAGCAAAAATGAAGACGCTAACATTGTGACATTTTGGTAGACACCCTTTCAACGCATTGATATTCGATACTAATCGATAAAAATATAATTGAATGCATTGAATATTTTATTTTTGATTTGGAATTTATCATACTGGCTTCATTTCTCCGTTCTAAAATATTTAACACATTATTTTACATTGTTTTCTGTAACTCACCCCGGAATTACTAACGTTAAACGCTGGTTAAAAATTTTGTGACGGGAGAC